TCATATGCAGTTTATTCCACTATAAAACAGTTTAATATCAGCTCTTATAAACCAGTATTGAGCTCTGCTTCTAAAACACACCCAGACCTCAGAAATATAGATTCAATAATATGCCTTGGTCGAACAATAAAACATCCAGAAACAAAAGTGCTTTTGAAAAAGAAGCCATTAAGCACTGATGGATGCATTAGGGAGATGCAGCAGATAATATTTCAGAAGCAACAAGCTTAAATGTTTCAAATCACACTGGTTCACTGGTGATTTTCTGGAGAAAAAAGAATATATCTCAAAAACAAGCCAAAGCCGCAAACTTAGAAGGAAAGCCACAACTAATCTGCAAGACTGGATCTCACTGTTAAATTGAAAGCCTTAAATATCATCAACTCAATTAAAACCAAAGACTCTGATAGAGGCGACGTGTGCTTTGGTTTTCAGCGAAACTTAGTGTTCTAACCTTAAAACTTGTGATCATTATAGAACATTTTAGGGTTGTCAAAAGTATCGAAACTCAAAAAAGTATCGATACTAAAATGTTGTATCCGGATACAATACTCGTTTTTAAAAGTATCGATACAGTGCCGCCACCAGTGGCACCTAAGCAGTCATTCATCTAAAGTGCAGAATAGAGGACAATGCACTTTCAGAACACTGTGTGATTGAATAATTCTATGCACTTTTCAGTTTCAGACTTTTTTTTGTAATAGGTGCAGCTGCTGAGAATTATTTTTGTTTCTTAACTGGTTTGGCCAGTGTCATTGTTATGTGTGCAAAGCATAGCCAAGGAAGGAACACTTAATTTTTATTTTATAAGCTTGCATAATATTGTGCACAGCATACAACCTTTATTGTATTTATTTATTGTATTTTATTTATTAATGAAAATATTTCTGTAGAATTTTGGAGTCTTTGTTTTTATCCTCGTGGTATCGAAAATAGTATCGAGTATCGAATATTTTTCTTAGTATCGGTATCGAGTTGAAAAGTTTAGTATCGTGACAACCCTAGAACATTTATGATGCAAGAATTGATTATTATTCTGAAATTTTTCCAAAACATTGAAAGAGTGAAGCCTGGTACGGTTTGTGAGCATAAACCACACAAATGTAGCAGCGGCACCTTATTTCTTGAAATAAAATATATATAAAAACAAAATGGAGAATCCACAGGTTTTATTTTTTTTAAAGATTAGTTACTCTATATACCTGTGTGGATTCTCATTTATCTGGGTCATCTCAGCCACAAATCGGCATAAATGGGAGGCAACTGGACTTTCGACAACTATCGAGAATTAACAAGAGCATTTCCCTATATTCCCTTCCTTAAATCCATCTGTTATACTAAGCGTACAATAAAATATGCTGGAGATTATGTCAAAGTGATATAATATAGATATCGGTGAGTTTCTGGAGATACATTTTGACTTGGAACTGCAAAAACTTTATGAAAATGAGTAAAAATGTCTTAAAAGAAGTTTATTTACCCTTAATCTGAGTAGGAATTAAGAAACTGCAGTTGTTTTTTTTTAAATGCAAATTATCTTATTCCATTGGCAAAGTGTCTCACTTACCTATTTAAATCAAGAATAAATGCACTTGTTTAAAGAAAACTTGGCTTACTTAAATTAAAATGTTTTGCTGTGCAAACCACCAGGCTTGGCAGTGGACATATAATGCTTTTGGCTTGATTTCTTATCAGTAGTATCTAAAACATTTAAGCACAAGTTCTAAATCAGCAAAAAAAGTTCTCATATCCATGGTTTATTTTCCTAGATTGGAGGATTTCCTCATGAAATAAATCCTAAAAAAAAAAAAAAAAAAGCTCATTTATGATATAATCTATTCAGACAGAAGATGTTTCTTCATGACTGTCACCGAACAATTAGAATTACGACCCTTCAGTAACACCCAACATAAAAGCTACACAAGAAGTCGAGCTCCTGGGATCAGATTATCAACCAGCTCATAAATCCTGTTGACACGTTTATAATCTCCAGCTGAATTAAAACAGCTGACGGCTGCAGCGCTAGCGAGTCTGCACTTCTCGCCTTCACTGGATTGAATTTAAAAGGTAAAGGAAATTACAGCCAGTAAACAAGGGAAGTCCATATTCTGTCCCCTGAGGAGGCCTTCAGGCCACTGTATGAGCCAGTTAGGTTTTTAAGATGAAATCAACCTTAGAAGGCCACTGCAAACCTGTGATCTGCAGTAACCTTTATCATCAAAGGTTTTATACCATTATGGGCCGGATCTATCAAAGGTTTGCGTGTATAAAAACGTGAGCTATTTCACTGCGCACGCTAAAAAATGTACAAACTGATCTATCAACAGCGTGCTAAAAGGATTTGGTCTTTAAAACGTGCTAAATAGCGCCTCTTATCCATTTAGTACTTTTTCTGCCATGAATATGCAATATGGGGCGTTTACACGCAAAAGTGCGTCTTGTGGGAAGAGAACATGTAAATATATTAATTTAGCACTCACAAAGTGATTTATTAAACCTGAAAGCAATTTTGCTAACGGTATCTGACTCTATATTTAACACGTTTCAAAAGAAGGTGCAAATGGTCTGTATGCATAATTGCGCACACATGGCAGCGGTTATTGTCGCAAGAAGGAGACATCGAAATGAAGCAAGGAGACGCAGAACGCATTTTTTCACTCCGTGTGAATATTTTTGGAATGAACGAGGAAACGATCATCAAAACATATCGTTTATTCAGTATTGCCATTTTGGAACTGTTGGGGGAACTCCGAATGGATTTGGAGCCAGCCACAAGGAGGACCCACGCAATACCAGATATCACAAAACTCCTTGCAACAATGCACTTTTTTGCATCTGGGATCTCCCCATCTCGTTTTTCAGAAGTGCCCGCAGTCATCTTATCCACAGTCACTTCTTGTGAGCCATTTGGTATGTGCATTTTTCTACAGGCCAATACAAAACACCTCTTTTTTTTTGTTTTGTTTTTTTACTGCAGTGAAGTAGAAATTCAGCCACATACCACCTTAGGGAATAAAGGCTGCCAAAGTTTATATATATATATATATATATATTTTTTTTTTTTTTTTGGAGGGGGTGGGGGTGTCACTGTAAGATAAAAATGTCTTAATGCACTAGTTTGCACAAACTACTTTGCCGCAAACCACAAAACGCGCAAACCATCATTTAAATAGGGCGTCTCCAACAGTTTTGCGCCTGCCACCAGTTACGCAATCGCTCTTGTTAAATCACCCACAAACCATGGTTCAGCCCCTCGCGCAAAATTCCAGTTTGCGAGCACAAATTACTGCACGCAAAATTGGATCTCGATAAATCCGGCCCTATGTTGGAAGGACAATCATAAATCTACATGTCATTTCTCTCGAGACAAACAGGCCCACAGCATCATAGATCCACCAGCATACTTTACAGTAAGGCCATATTTTGATCTTTATTTCACTTCCAACTAACATCGGTTGCTGCATAAATTTTCAATTTTAGTCTCAGCTGTGAGCCAAAAGCATAGAGATGCATCTAATTATTATTATAGTGGAGGTTTTATAGGGTGTGTTTTAGAATGCATGTGAAATTATGAATAAAATGGAGCACAGCAATGAAGAAAAAAAAATATTGATAAGAAGGAAATATGTTGCAATAGAAAATGTGGGAGTAGGAGACAAGAGGAGATAAATAACAGAGCAGGGATCTGGTTTCTGTTTAGAAAATGCCAGCTGTGCCAGCTGGCCTCTTCTCCGCATGTGAACCTAAACAGCCTCTCGTATTACTGCAAAAGACAAGAGAGGTCCCATGACATATCGAAACCCACAGCTGATACGGCAGCTTCCATTACCCGCTCCGTTAAACAATTATTCTGCTATCTCACATCTACTGCTGCCCTGCGGACGGGAAACAAGTCTTCCTTTAGTCACAAGGGGGGAAAAAAATCATTTGTGGTTGTGACATATAGTAGGAAGGCTTCAGAAAGATAATGTCAACCGTGGAATCTGATTTACTGTGTGAAATCTACTGACGTTCTCTTATTAATGTCAGAGAATAATCCACGCTCTGGTTGGTTCCTTTTAACGAGGCGGCTGCAGACTTGTCATAAGGGCGGATTGTTTAGTTAGAACCTTTGATCACATCTTAAGAGGCGTTATAAAGATTTCAACTCACCTGATTTAAACAGCTAATATGGGGGAAAAAAACTGTTTTTTTAAGCAAAAACAAAAAGTAGGTAAAGGAAGTGCTCCTAATTACCAACAGTAGCCGACAGCGACATGTTGCAACACATTTGTAGCTCAGGTATTTATTGTTTATCTTGCACAAGCAGTGAGCCCGAATATTTCAACTCAGGCGTATCTAACAGTTTTACTACAACAAATAAACCATACGGCAGAACTGTTCATTAAAACCTGTGAGAAAAGGAGTTTACTTAAGGTGTTTACATTCCAATAGTACTCTAACCCATTTTCTTTCCCATTTCATATAATGGCAATAAAATTGTATTTTATTAAAATTTTGAAATAATTACACATTTACAATTTTTTAAATGCAAAACAATTACAAAGCATGGTGTCTATTTGGATTCACCCCAACTATTTTAGTACTATTAAATAAAATCCCTCTGAACAGTTGATCAGTGAAACCAAGGAACACAGCAGATGGGTCAGCATGTAGCTAAAAGCAGAATTAGATTCTAAAACGATCAAACGGCTCAGAGCGAGACATCAAAATGTGAGAAACCCCCTGAATTAACACCAAGGGAGCAATTAGCATTAATAGAAGAAGATTAGCATTGATACAAGCAATACTAAAAGCTGCAGAGATCCGCCCTCAGGTGGGGGAACCTATTGATCTTGATTGTCATGTGTTATAGTGGCCTAGTTGAAGCTCAGACCTGAATCCAAACAATTCTGGTCCTCAAAATTGTGCAAAAATCTTAATTTTTTATCTGTAAAAAAAGGGCGAAAAGTTTTAAGTTCATATGAAAAAAAGTGTTTTTGTCCTCTCAACGTCTCCAGGCTCCATCAAAGACCGATGACCAGTCTAATTTGGAGATAACAAACATGGACCAGCTCCTGCAGTTCTTCTACCCTGAATACAGCGTGATCCAGCAGTGCATGAGGAAAAGATCATGGCACTCCTCATCCTCCTCTTTCCCTTCCACCTCTTTTTCAACCTCTTCGGAGAGCCCTTTAGCCCGCCCTGGCGACGACGACTTGTGGGTCCCATTGCGGGCAGAGCCTCTTTACAAAGATGATGGAAATATAGCAGGTAAAGAGTAAAGTGGCGTTAGTGCTTTGGAAAATCAAACACTTGTTTTCTAACTTATCGACCCTGTTCACAGAAATTCTGGAGGAGCTAAAGAGGATACAATGCCAGCCAAGGGAGGTGTGTGTTGAGGTGGCCAAAGAGTACCCAGAATCCACGGGTCAGTTACATGTCCCTCGCTGCGTGGCGCTGCATCGCTGTGGCGGATGCTGCGGGAACGAGGCTTTCTACTGCACCAATACCAGCTACAGTCTGGTTAATAAGACGGTGAGGAAGATTGAGGTGCAGTGGGACTTTTACATCTGGATGGTGTTCTGTATGGAGGGAATTTTGTTCGATTATAGTTGAAATCAGAAAACGTGTTTTGTTATTTAAAAAAAAAAAAATGCTATCCGAAAATGAAACTTCATTAAAAAAATAATATTTTTTTCATTGTTTTCAGATAAGAATTTTAACACTTGCATTTTTTGATTGCATTTTAATCTAAAATTTTAATTCAAATTTGAGAAAAATAATATGAAAAGAAATGTAATCTAGAAATTACAAAGGTTTTGAGAGTAGCTTTGCTGCTTTCTTGAATTAAATTTTTTCTATAATTCTTTTCTATTTTCTATATTTTTCTAATGTTTCTTACAAATTTGACATTTTCAGAATTCATGTTTTCAAATATATCCTTGTATTTGATTGCATTTTATAGATTACATTCTCCCTTAATCAGAGTTGTAGGGGCTAAGCCGACGCTTAAAGCCACTGGAGTGTTTTTAAACTGGAATCTTATGGTTGACGCGCTTTGCCAGTGTTAGATGGTGTGAACAGAAAATGCCCAGACGCTGTTCTTGCTGTTTAAAGGCTGATTTATTCCCACTCTTGCTGCTTAAAAAACAAAGAAAAAAAATGATACAACAGCCAGCTGTGAGTTGACAGACTTTCCCTGCCAAGCGGTCAAACCGATTTGCCCTTTCCGGTGAAACACATGCCCATACACACATCATTTCCCTTCTTTTATAGAGCTTATACATAATTGCTTCTACAAGAGTATTAAAGTCCAATAAAAACAAAAACAAAATCCAAGAAAAGAGCTATTCTCAAAACCTCGTTTTTTTCTGGTTTTTGTTTTTCTTCTGTTTCAAAATTCCATTTACAAAACATTTTTCTTGTAGCAATAAGACCAAAATTGTATCCATAGTTTCAACTATTTTTAAATCGATCCAACTGATACATGCTGCTGATTTTTAAAGTTGATATTGACTTTACCTTTTCTCTATTTACATGATATAAAAGACACAATGATACCATTTCTTACAAACGACTCAATGTAAAACAAGAAACATTGGTTTTTAGATCAAGCAGGCGTAATCTCGTGATCTAATGGCATGGTTGCTAAATGCACTAATTAATCGGCAAATTCATGCACATACCGGCCTATTATATCGATCGATCTCTATTCTTCTCTGCAGAGTTCACTCAACCAGCCAAGCTGGAAGAATTCCCAGCATGTAAAAAGGCACATCACATCTCAATTAGAATTAAGTGCAAACTTTGACTAGACCACCTTAAATCCTTCAGTTCATTGAGCTTCTTTCAGTTTAGTTGCTAAAGCGCCACCGGACCAGCTCTGAATGTTGGTATAATGTTGTTTTGTCATAAAACATTCAGGGTTAGCTAAAATTTTTTTGAATGGAGCGTGGGGTTTTGATCTTTGAGACATTCGGCCTACTTAGTGTTGTTTTTTTATGCATACATTGATGATGTAAAACTAAAGCAAATGTATTCACCTTAATTAGGAAGAAGCGTTCACTTTATATCATTAAATCAATATGTTAAAACAAATATTTTTTTACTCTCACAGATTTTGTTGGGTTTTTTTTTGCATGAAATTTAAATCTCTTTTGATTAGAAAGGACTAAACGTTTTAACAAACAAAACAAAAACAGCACATTAAATCTGGTACATCACTGCTTTCACACTTCATAATCCATCTGCATGCTGAAACCAATTCTTCCCAATTATGTTTCTTGCCTGACCACAGCACACACACCCTGCTCCATGGGGAATAGGCTGTTACTGGATACAGCGGACACAGTCACGCACAGCTGCACGATCTCACAACAAATCGCACCGCCTGACCAGAGCCACCCCTCACACAGACTTCAGTTTGGATAAAATGACAAGAAACTCCTTTAACCTCTTTGCTCTTCCTCCCCTCCAGCTGATGGAGCTGTCTCCCCCCAGGATGGACCAAACGGTCGTCATGGTTACGTTTGTCAACCACACCACGTGCACTTGCCTCTCCAAGCGGCCGCTCCACTCCATCATAAGACGAGCAGCGACAGATTATCTGTGAGTAAGACGACCTGCTGACGTCTGTGTGCCTGAGTGACTGCGCTGTGTTCAAACATGTCTGACTGCTTTATGTCTGGGGATGTGCAGGTGTTCCCCTCCTGAACTCCCCTGTGCCTTAGGATCATTGTGGGATCCGGTGAACTGCGGGTGCATCTCTGCCGACACGATGAGCTACACTCAGAAACATACAGGTGAGATTTCTTTGACCCAATCCTTTGAGACTGGGACACTTACTACAGAGGGGAATATAATAAGTGCCAAAAGAACAATTGTCTCCTCTAATAACATTCTAGAAATTGGGAAAAAGATAGCTAGACTCAACAGATCAAGTTCAGCTCAACCCTAATAGTTTCTCTTGGGTTCAGAGAATGGATCTGCACGTCTATTCCTCATGTTGATTTGGCTAAATGCTTAAAACAAACAACCTATTAAAAGATCAAATGAGGATCAGCCATCAGCCTTGCTTTCACAAAAGTTTCTTTAAGTGTAAAACTTATATTCAAGTACACAGAAAAGTCAAGGTTTTGAAAACCAGGACTAATCTTTGTCTTGTTTGTGAAGATGACACAGTTATTAAAATAAAGCAAAAAACAAAGATTTAGCCGTAGAGCATAGGTTAACGATTTGTTTTTGTTACGTCTGACATGACTGGGCTCCAAGGTTAAGTAAGAGGCAGGTTTTGATATCACTAAAATAGTTGAGTGTATTTCAATCAATACGAAATTTTAATTATCTAAAATATCCCGCAGCCATATGGAAGAAGGGTTTCTTTGGAAACAAATCACTTTGTATCCCCATGGAGAAATATTCATCTTCCACATGTTTAGTATAATTTTTTTTAACCAAATCATGTTCATTAACTATGTTATTTTGCACTGGAATCGACTTTATTGACATAATTGGTCCAAAAAACCGAAATGTGAATGAAATTGACCCTGATAGACTAGCAGTAGGAGATGAGTGGATAGATTTTCTTAGTGTTTTGAAAGAAATTTTAACATTTTAACATGGAAAAGGTTCCTCACGATCATAAAAAAGGGGGAAAAAAACAAAACAGTACCATATTATAAAACCAAGTCATAAGATTAGCAAATTACAGCACATCTCTTTGTGATGAGAAGGGCCACCCTGATTACAGAGGAAACAGCTCAGCCTTTCATTACTCATTCCAGCTGCTCCCACCAACCTGAAAAAATTCTTAAAAACCAAAGTTTAATTCAGAGGTTTTAAGTAGACATGATTTCATTTATCTGGTTTTATGTGCTTTGTATCTGTATTTATTAACGTGTTTTCTTGTAGTTAAATTGGAATGCTTGGTAGTAAGGCCCTAAAAGTAGAATATCTGTTACCAGTTGCCGCAAATAAAGTTTTCCTATTCTGTAGTTTAAAGCTGAAGTCTGTAAGTTTTTAAAAATCACTTTTTTGTCATATTGGCTAAAACTGTCCCTATGCCCAGACAGCAGTACATGTGATATGTAACCTGTGAAAAAAACTGCTTCAATTGGTCCCGCCTACTGCCTGTATTTCAATCTGGAAAGAATAATTCGGGACGAGTCAAAACAACCAATCACAGCCAGAGGAGCGTCTGATGGAATGTCAATCACAGCTCACACACGCTGAATCCCGCCCCCCCCCCCCCCCCCCCCCCCCTTCTGGTCGCATGCGGTAGCCGCAGCAGATGCTTTGAGAGGGGTGGAGCTTGGAGGTGAGGCATGAGTGAAGCAGAAAGGGTGGGGGAGTTGCGTGAAACCAGTTTTTCTTCAAATTTTCAGTCGAAGTCTGCTCTCTTCTCAATGTTACAGACTGCAGCTTTAAATTTGTAAGAAAAAATTAAATACATCAACTTTTATTTTGACAGCTGCCGCCATTTAAACAAAGTAAATGAGTTTGTTAGGGTGTACAACGCAAGGGTGTAACTTTGTGATGAAAGTTGGTGGGGACACTCGGGTACACTTTCATTAGGCCAATTTTCCAAAAATGAGCTCAAACATATATTTATTGAATGTTTTCCTATTTTTGAAAACACAAGACCACACACTGATATTACTATTTATTCATGTTAGAGGGATGCCTTTTAGTGCATTACAAATATAGGGACCAATAACATCAATGCATGAAAAAAAAAATTTAATAAGAGCAGAGTCCAATGCCAAAATTGATATATCATGTATCTCTAGAAGTGCAATTTCAATTCCATCCAGAAAAAAATTGGATATGCTGCATTTTAAATATAGCTTAGAGTATTATTTTCTCGTAAAATTTGTGGTAAACTTGGAGATATAATTTATTGCATGTTGCATATCCCAGTAAATCTGCTTCTCTCTGTTTAAAGAGATTTATGAGCCTCTTTACTAATATAATGATGCCAGAAACTAAATTTCAAGATATTTAGAAGGTCTGCAGTCTGATTCTGGCTGTTCAATAAGAGAACATGTTAATTTTAACCTGTAACTTTGAGTCATGGTCCTCTGAAAAGCCAAGATTTTTCTTAACTATTAAAGAAGAACAAATTATGTTTTGTAAAGCATCTGGCGTTATAATGCCAACTTGTTTAAACTTACAATCTGTTGCCATTTTAGGTGAAAAAGCTCTGTATGTCTAACAAACAGATTTGCATATGACGTACTAACAGCCAGGCTACTCTTGCCGAAACCAGTCGGGAGAAGAGCAAAAACATCTTTTCCTCTGAGAAAAGCCTCCAGAGCAGTGTTTTGCTCTTCTTTCAGTGAAAAAATACTCCATAATTCCGATAAAACTTGCTCGATAGCCACGCTAACGCTAGTTTCATCGGCTGAAGCCGCCATGTTCTTTAGACTGAACTGTCGTGCTTCTCGTTGCGTCACACCTCAACCCGCCTCAAAGCCAACACTGATTGGACGTTCGTTTGGTGAACGGCTCCAAATTTTCTTCAACGGAGAGTCTCCAGACTGATTAGCGAGGGAAATCTTGAAAGCTCGCGAGATCAGAATGGTCTTACGAGGCTAGTGTCTCTCCTCCAACCACGTAGCTACATTGTACGCAGTGAAATGCGACCACAAATCAGATTGCTCAAAGCGACCGATCCGATGATGTTACACAGAGAGGCGGGACATAGTAGTGCGAGAGAGAGGGAAAAAAAAAAAAAGACTCAAAACGCTCTGAACACAGACAGCTGCACCCAACCTCTGTTACCTGTTCCGCTAGCTCCCTGCCCCCGTCCACCGAGGTTCCCGGACCTGCCACGGAGCTGACGGCTCAGTTCGACTGCCCGGCGTGTTTCGACTATGTGCCGCACTGTAGTCGACCAAAATCCCGGACGATTTTGAAATTCCCCCCCGGAGATTTTTTTAGGTATGAAAAGTAGGACATGTCTAGGAAAAAGAGGACGTCTGGTCACCCTAAATAGTTAGTAAAAAGAATGTAATATAAAGAACGGGAAAATCTGCATTTAAGGCCAAACTATTACTTTCGACCCAATTATTGGGTTAATTTAGCTATAAAAGCAATACAGACTGCCCTGCTACAAAACTCAACTGCATCATTGCACCTCCTTTATGAGCTATCTAAGCTAAAAGCTAAAAATGATCAGACATTTTTACAAGCAACTCCATGACTTTTCAGTCAGATCCAAAGTGGTCTGCAGCCACACTCCAAAACACAGAGGAAGAAAAAAAGCCCTGAAAGTTACAGGTATAGCGCCCCTAGTGGCTAAAAGTTAATCCCAATCTAAAACTCTAAACTTAATATTTTCTGTCTTTTTCTTGAACAAAGTGTTAATGGTATCAGCAGAAACACTGCCGCACATCATCACTGAATACAAATACACGGTAGATATCAGGTGATATTATTTTGTTTCCAGCCAAACACACTGGAAATCTTCTTACAAAAGAGTTAATCTTCAGACTTCTTTATCAACATGCCGCTCCAGTTAAGTTCCATGTCTCTATTGCAATTATAGAACAGAAAAGGATTTTTCTGGCATACCTTAAAACAAATCAAAAATAATCAGCTGACATGTAGAGAGGGCGTCTTTGCTGCGGCTCTTACACTTTCCCACACCCTCTCCATCCATCCTGATGTGATAAGGCAGGTTTACTGTTTCCTTTTAATCATTCCTCTGATTGCAGATTTGGCCACGTCTCAGCAAACTGCTACTTACTTTTATCCATTTACCGCCTTATAAATCACCTAAAAAAGGGTAGCTATGTAGCCAAATGAATCATGCCTTTTAGACGAGCTTGTACTCATGCCCCGCAGATACAGCCCAGAGACAATCCGTGTGAAACGAGGAGTATGATGGCACTGCCAGATCGTTTCAAACAAATTCACCCCACCACAATGTTGATACAAATGAAGCTGGAATGTAGTAATGCTCTTGTACAATCACGCACAGCCCCAACACCTTGACTAACTTACTGCATGATTGGAATATCTATTTTTGATGCTGTAGGGTGCATATTCAAATTGCCTTCTCTGTAAACTGCTCTCAAACTCAGGTCTCAACATGCAGATTTAGAGTAATAAACCAAAACAGACACTGTAGGTGTTCTGCCCGCCTGGCGCTTCAGAAACAGTAATTAACCCTAAGAGGCTTTCAGCTTAACGTCATCTTAGGTGTGAAAGATACCCAGGTATGTTTAAAAGGTCCATCATAAACTTAAATTTAGTTGAAAATGACATTTTTTTTTCCATTTGGTGTTTTATGTGAAGTACCGTTTTTTCTCTTAATGCTTTTTGTCTTCCAGAAGCGCTGGACTCAGGTCTGCTGGCTCTCTGCGGGCCCAACAGGGTTCTGGAAGAATCCACCTGTGACTGCGTCTGTCAAAACGGACTCACTGAAGCCAGCTGTGATCCAGGCCGGAAACTGGATCAAAACACCTGTAAGGAGACAATCAATCACATTCATTCAACTTCATCTGGTTTCATAATGACAGAGATCTGCAAGATGGTAAAAGCTTAGCCTAATAAACTATCCCCACATGCCAGGGACCAAAATCAATGCCCCAGGCCCTAGAACTGGTGGGCCAATCACAACGCAGAGATGTGTTTTTTGAATTTTTGGATGTTGGTCCAGCTCATAAAATCCCCATAAAACCACATCCAAGTTTACTGTGGCTGAAACTTAACCCCTTAATGCCTGTTGTTGCAAATATGCATCAAACCCTTTGCTTTACACAAACAGCCAATCTAGAGTTTGTGTTCTCCACAATGCTAGTTATCATACATTCAGTGCAGACCTCGGAACCTTTGCTTCTGGTCCGACTGGTCCAGAAACGCTGACCCGTAAAACTGTTGCCACGATTTACAATACACCTACAGTTTTATTTTCTTTGTAATAAACAGAAATTTTATCATCTTTATTTGGAAACTACTTAAACACAATAAAATGGCTGAATAGTTTATACAAAAATCAAAAGGCGATTATTTTCAACCAATATTGCAAACTTTTTGCGATTTACCTCTGCACTAACCACAATCATTTTGATGTTTCACTGCAGGGTTTTATTATTTTCATGACCTTGACAGCTTGCTGGTCCAGATTCCATTGTTGAAGAACTTCCCTGTAACATTTGCATGAAAAGGTTCACTTTAACTGTATTACTGCCACCTAAAGGGCTGGAGTGTTCATTTGAATTTCCATAAAATTGACTGCCTCTGCAATTTGAAACACAAACAATACAATTTGTTGTCCATGTTTATATAATTGTATATAAATTCAGGCGTCAAGGAAGTGTGGGAAAGTTCAATGAAAAGGTATAAATGGCATTAAGAGGCTAATATTTGACTTGAAGCTGCCTCTGATCAGCCAACATTGACAATGTAATAACAGTAGAAAGGGTTCAATATTATGCATTTGGTGTTTCCCAGATTCACTGTTTGTATTTATGTTTTGTCTCAGTTGAAACCCATTATTTACATATTAATGTAAATATTGGCTGCATTTTACAATGGATCACTATTGTAGTGAAAGACGATCCTAAACAGACAGGGTATTGCTTATATAGATTAGAAAATTACTTTAAAACGTGCAGGTCTGGATTGTTTAGTCTTAACAATAATTAAGAGTAATTGATGAAAATCAAGATAAAGCATGCAAGGAATGCAGATGTGTATGCCAATTGCAAACGAGCAAGAACGTTAAAGATGGTAAAAAATTTTTTTAAAAAGTTCTGTTTTGCAAACTAATAAACTGACCTCCCCGCCTCCTTTTTTAACCGTTTTGGTCAGGTGAATGCCAGTGCGAAGGGCAAGGCGATGGGAAGCTGTGTCCTGCAAGGCAGCGGTGGGACGACGAGCTGTGCGGTTGCGTGTGCGCCATGGACTGTCCCAGGAGTCAGCCTCTGAATCCCGACACGTGCCTGTGTGAATGCAGAGAGAGTCCAAACACGTGTCTACGGCAGGGCAAGAGGTTCGACCCCAACACCTGCAGGTGAGAGCGCCAAAGGGAGGGATGTTCATGTCAAATTATAAAGCATGTTTAAATACAATATGGCAGACAAAAAAAGTAAACAATTAAAATATAAGATCTAAACTCGACAACAACTGATGTAATATTCATTCACTAGCTAGTCCATTCAGGGTCATAAAGGAACAATTAAACTGTTCTGCTTCAACTGTAGGTAGATCAAAGTGTTTTTAGCATACAAATCTTTAAATTTCTCATTTTGAATTCTCAAGAGGAAAGTTTTGATAAAAAAAAATCTAATTGGCCCCAGAATAAAGCCCTGAGGGACTCCATAAGTAATAAAGCATTAAAAACGACTGCTCTGGCAGTATAGTTATAGTAATACCATTTTCTAGCTGAGAAATTATATAACTCTTGTAAACAGCATCAATTACAGGTGTCTAAACCAAAAAAATGAATAAATAACAGCACAGGACTGAATCAGTAGGTAATAAAAGACTATTAAAACATTTTAAAATTTCCAGTTTTCGAGCCCTGCAGTGTTTTAATACCAGGCTGAACCATTTTGGTATAATTGGGTTATTTAAAAATCAACTACATCTGCAAAAACAATCCCCTTTCCAAAATGTTTGAGGGGAAAGACAGATCTGATATTGCCCAACATTTAAAAGGCCAGATGAGTCCAAGTTAGGCTTCTTTTAATACTTTCTTTAAAAGAATGTTGGATGAAAGCAGGGCTGCAAGCCGAGAACTATTTTCTCAACCTGATTAAACAGAGATGCTCAGAATGATAATGATGTTGAAAGGATCAGGTTAAGGGAGAAAAATCGAGAGATCTGCGATGTCTGAGAGGTTTTCACAACATTACTTGGGGATTTTGAAATTGCTAAAACCTTTGCAACTTTCACAATGATTGACAATTGAGTGAAGGGTCTTACAAGGACTCATTAATCATCTTCAGTAGAGTAGGTGAATCATGAATTGTCATGTGCTCATAACCAGCATAATGAGAAACTACACACCCTGCTGAAATGTAAAGGATTGAGTAAAAAAATAAACAATAAATAGGAGTATACATCTTTTAAGCGGGTAAGGTTCTCAACCAGATTACCTGAGTGCAGACCTTTACACTAATCCTTTGTTGAACCACCTCTAGATTTAATTTAGGCATTGATTTATTTACAATCATTCTCTGCAGCATATATTTGTATAATCTTTCTTTCAAATGATTCTGTGGTTATCTTTTACCTAGACTCATTTTTGGGCTTGCTTTTACAAGAGAAGCTGCATTTCAATTTACCATTAAATGGCACAAATTGTACCGGTAGTTACGAAAATGTGCTAAATATACTGCGATTAAAAAAAAGTATGTTTTTTTTTCATTAAAGTTCTAGAAGCAAAACTGCAATGGAAACACTTCAATAGCGTCACGTGACCTGTAACTGGACCTTACTGCCTTGTAAAAAGACACAGAAGACCGGAATGCAGTTTTATTACAATACGTAATGAAAATACCACCAATTGCGAATCTTTCCTTTGCTTTCGACAGCTTTGCAAACATTTGGAATGGAAACACATCCAGAGAGATATTGAACTGTTTGGAAATACTTTCAAAACACATAAAAAGATTAGTGATTTGTCTAACAGCAAGTTGTACTTGACTAAGCAGCCTGACTAACAAACCTGACTAGCTACTGCTCGTTAAATTTTTTTACTATGAATATTAAAATCTAAAATATCAAATTCTTCAGGAGCGCTTAAAATCTAACAGAAGAGTAGGTTGGTAATCTAGTTTTTTGCTTGAATTACTGTAGGGCTGAAACAATTAATCGACTTAATCGATAATTAAAATAATCTTTGACTAATTTATTTATCAATTAATCGTTAACTGGAGTATAGAGACTCTAAAGCATGCCTTTAGCTGACAGAGTCCCAACTTCAGCAGCAACACAATACAAAAACAGAAAAAAAATCTAAAGATTTTGCATTTAAGATATAAAAAAAGGCTTTTTTTGTTTGTTAATATGCTCTATCTAGAACTCCTCTAGTGGAGGTTTTAGTTTTACCTGGGCTAATTTTGTGAAAAGTCTTCTTTAAGGAACCTTTTGCTATGCAATTTTTTACCGATTAATCTAAAAATTAATTGACAGATTAATCGATTTGCAAAATAATCGTTAGTTCCAGCCCTAAAAAATATAAATTTTGCATTTAAGAAAAAAAAAAAAAACATTTCTGTCGATATGCTCTATCAAGTGGAAGAGTTTTTGTTTCACCTGGTTTAATTTCTTAAAAAAAAAAAAAAAAAAGAAAATCTTTAAAGGAACCTTTGGCTATCCGATTATAAAAATCGTTTCATCAAAAAAATAATCGCCAGATTAATCGATTTGCAAAATAATCATTATTAACAGCTCAAGATTACTGTATCCCAATCAAAACATGATATCCTAAAGTTATCATGTCAGTAAAAGACAATGATAAAATTAAGAAATAGTTTTTGATTTTTTTTTAAAGAAGACATTTATTCTTTTAGTTTTTTGCGCATATAACATAAAACTGCCGTTTTGCACCCTCATTGCTCAAACCACCAAATGCTCTAATCGTATTTAATCTAAAGCAGTGGAAAGAAACGGAGATGTGTTACTGGTATCAGTCGTTTAATCCCATTAGCTTTGGGATTCGCCTTTGGATACCACTCCTAATAGACATGTCACACATTCTTCTCTAAAAGGAAAATATCCCTTTCTCAGTCCTTTTTAGTCATCTGCGTGTTTTAATGGTGACCTTTTATGGACTTCAGGGATCCAAACCATGTGCTTGGGGGTTTTTGTCTATGTGTTGTGGTTCCCACAGCCTGGATGCTCTGGATCAACCTTGCTCTGACCTAAGAGGCCCTGCAGAGGGAAGAGACAGCGAGACAGACAGATGGAGTGACAGGCGCTATAAAAACATGAGCTGATACTGGTAGCTTTACATGTGGGAAAACTTCCAAGGATATAAAGACAAGTGGCCTTTCATAGTAGTACAATAAACATTCTCAGCTTAAAACAACTTAAAATATGGTGACTGGAGCAAATGTTTAAAAGAACAGCCCATATTTAGCTTGCAAAATGAGAAAGAAACTATGTATTTTGTCAAGAATACCAACGTTTAACATTTCTTTTTCACTCTGGATATAACGTACAGGAGACTTTTCTCTGGTATGCCTCCATTAAAACCAATGAAAAGTGGGGCCAGATTTAGCAAATATATCATTTATATCATGTATGACATGTAAGAAACTGTTTTTGACAAAAAAAATTTTAGCAGATTGAATACAAAAATGCAGGATTTAAATGATATTAATGAAAAACAGAATCAGGTAAAAAATATACAGTATCTTCCAACTTTAGTAGATTACCCAAGTATCTACCCAAGTGTAACTCAATTAATGTTTACTGAGCTATGAAGAAATGCTTGCTCCTTTATATTTTTATTACAGTAGTCCTTTAATTTGACCACAGTGGAGAGGTTCAAAGCATGAACTATTTACCGGTAAGACACTGAGATATTAAGTCCAGAGTATGGTTAGGCCACTCTAAATCTTCCAAAATATTCCACTTCTTTCTGGTCAATATTTTCTAAAATGGGAGTCAATAACTTATTAATTGTGATTAATCGGTTATTGAAATAATCGTCCACTAATTTAGTAATTGATTAATGGTTAACTGGAGTATAGAGAATCTAAAGCATGCTTTTATGTGACAGAGAAACCCACTTAGAGCAGTAATTATATTAAAATTGTAAAATAATCTATACATTTTGTGCATTTGAGATAAAAAATTGTTTTCGTTTGTCATTATGCTCCGTCCAGAACTCAAGTGGAAAAGTTTTAGTTTCACCAGGTTTAATTTTGTAAAAAATCTTCTTTAAGGAACCTTTTGCGATTATTATTCGGAAAAAAAATTAACCGATTAATCAATGTACAAAATAATCTTTAGTTGCAGCCCTAAACTTATGTCACTATTGTCAAACTGGAGCTGATCCTTCTTAGATTCTTGTGTTTTTTTAAAACAGATCCTGTCAGTGTGGCTACTGACATTTAACACAGCTTCCCAAGAAAAAATAAATAATAAATAACATACAGTTACATTTTTATTGAAAAAAAAATCCCATTTTTGGGTGTGACTTTTAATGATTAATGATGGACTGCAGCACATTTATTTAGGATTATCTGATTCCACACCGAATTGCATTTTTTGAGAAACGTTTACGTTTCTTTCACTTTTTATTTTTTAGATTATATATTTTACTACAATAACTTATATAAAAACCTACTTGTAGCTCCACTTAATCAAGAAGAATATGTAATTTGACTTAAGACAAATTTAACTTGTATAAAAAATAAACAGGGTAAATAAAATAAAACTTCCAAGTAGGCTACCCTGTAAGCTAACTTAGCAACAAACTAAGTGAGGGAATGAAGCTTACCGCTGAGGAAGCCTATAAATGAGAAATATAATATCAATAACCATTTTCAGTTTCATAAAATAATAGATTGATTTTACCTTAACCACACGAACTGCTGAAAAGCATTTAAATAGATGTAAATATGACAGAGACGACACTAACTGTTGATTAGCGAGCTATCAACAGCTGTGACCCATACTTGTGTTGCGTTCAAGTGCAAACTTGTATATAAAACTATATAAAAATGTGTGTGTGTGTGTGTGTGTGTGTGTGTGTGTGTGTGTGTGTGTGTGTGTGTGTGTGTGTGTGTGTGTGTGTGTGTGTGTGTGAGATACGGAAGAGGATTAGAGCCACTGAAAAAACTAAAAAAGTCTACTGATTTTTAAATTTTATTTCAGTATAATATGAGAAAAAAAATCAGAATTCTGACTTAATCACAGAATTCTGACTTAAATCTCAGACTTCTGACTTTAATCTTAGAATTCTGAGAAAAAAGTAAAAATTCTGACTTTAATCTCAGAATTCTGATTTTTTTTTTTTTTTTCAGAATTCTGACTTAATTTCAGAATTTGGGATTTTAATTTAGATGGACACCATGAAGGAAGAGATGTGGGAGCACGTGAGTTGTTTGGGAGGGCTAGTTCCACATTGGTTAAAAAAAAAACTACGAAATTAGGCAACTTTTTTACGTGCCTGGGGGGTCCCTGGTGATGCTATTTCATTAATGGAAGAGCAGAAGGTGATTCAAACAAGAGAGCTATTCTCTAAAACAGACATGGCTATGGCTTGATGCTGACATGTTTGTTAGCTGTCAGAATTCAGAGATTAAAAACAGGATTCTGAGATTAAAGTCAGAATTCTGACTTTTTTTCCCATATCAAACTGAAATAATATTTAAAAATCGGTTAACTTTTTTTATTTTTTTAGTGGCCCTTATCCTCTTCCATATATATATATAAATATATAAATATATATATATATATATATTTATATATATATATACCCAAAGATTTATTGTACCTGGATTTAACTGAATGCAGTCCAAAGGATATGCTTCATGGTTAATGGGATACAGTAATCTTTTAATCCAAAAACCGGAAACTGTATTTTTCTGTAATTATTTAATACATTGTATGACACAAATTAGTAAAATCATTTGCATGATTATCTAAACACTTTTTCTTTACATTCCATCTTATCTATTGAAACCCCCTTTTTTATATGTGGGAAAAGTATTTGATTTTAAGATTGTTTTCAAGATCAGGATGCATTCGTGCACACAGATAATTTATTTTTCCTAACAATCACTCTCTGTTCTGTTTTGTCTGATTTAACATCTGGTCACAGTAGTTAGTCCGCAGGCAGCTCTACACCTGCTGAGATTTTAAAGACAAGAGTTCCCAGACTGTTTCTGGAAAAATACTCTATGTTCCCCTCACACAGAATCTTTTGATGCACATGCAAATAAAACTTGGATCGAGCTTCCTCCAAGAAGGATGTGGAGATGAGAAGGGTGTATAGTTTGCATGCCAAGAGAATATAATCTCCTTTATGTTTTTTTCTCTTTTCTTTTTTCTCTGTCTCCTCTGTTCCATCCCAACCTCACCCCCTTAAAACCCTTCTTTCTCTCCTCTTTTTAAATCCACCTTTTGTCTTCTTCGCCCACATTTCTCTCTCAAGTTGCTACAGGCTTCCATGCAGAAACCCCAGACGGGAATGCAAGGTTGGATTTTACTACAGCAGCCAGGTCTGTCAGTGCATCCCCAATTACATGAAGTGGAATTACCAAACGGGGAAATGAGGAAGAGGAGGAGGATTCTGGGAATTACTGACCTTAGATAGACTACTTCCCTGTCTGAATGACTCCCTGCAGGAGAGCATGAAGTGGATCTACAAACAGAGACATGCCGTCAGCAATAGGAGCAGCGTGTGTGAGTCCTGCTGCCTGTGCTGAGTCACTTTTCCAAAGAACCATTTCAAATGGTGTTCTGAGACTTTCCCAGGATATAAAGCTGGCAAAAAGCCACTCATCTTTGGTAAAACTCTTACATAAGAAGAAAATAAGAGGAAAGAAGGATCTATATATCTGATCCTTAGTTAACAGTCCATTTTGTGTGCCTTCTTTCTATTTCAACGTCTGGGAAAACCCCAAGAAACTGACTGGTGGGATAGATTGAGCCGACCTGGGACGGGCATTCATCTTGCTGTAACGTGTTTCAGCAAGAAGAATGCCAACCACCTACCTGCTGAGGAGCTGCAGCTCATGCTTCTTTGAAATGGAATGTGAATAAGATAATAACAGACCATGCTTTTCTTCCACAATAAATGCCAAAAATAAAATAAAAAATTCAGGCAAGTTCCCATATTGGCTTGAAGGAAAATCAGGTACAGTTCATCTCCAAAGTGTGCACAGCCTCCATTACAATGACGGGTTTATCTGAAGTAAAAATAAAATGAAACCACTATAGATAAATCAATGCAGATATTACTGCAATTTGTGCAAACAGGCTGTTGGACATTTTTAACCTTTAATAGATTAGCTTGATTTCAGTTTGATTGTACAATATGTCTGCTTCAGTAAAGGAAGAAACAGTTCAGATTTCTTTTTTTTATAATAAAGTGGTCCTTTTACCAGGGACCTGTACACTTTTAGGATTTTATTTATCACGTGTCATTCCATTCCTCCCATTTTAGACACATTGTCCGTATCCATTTGCAACCCTGTACTGGGGTTCTATATATTTAATATATATATATATAAATATATTTTATATATTTAATGTTTTTTTTTTGTAATTAAAAAGAATAAAAAAAAAGCAAAACAAATTGAAATTGTGAAGATTTAATTGTGAGTTTTGGTATATCATTATAAAGTGAAGCAGTTTTTTGTTTTTGTTTTTTACATTAAGTTTGGAGTTTAATCTGAATCTGCACTGCTGCTTAATAATCTGACTTGCCTAAATAGCGTTCAATATTTAAATTCATTAGAATGCTTGATGTTGGGGGGTGGGGGGGGGGACCGACTGAAGAGTAGCTGAGACTGTGGTTGTTATTGCATGAAAGTAAAGTAACTTCTATCTCCAACCCCCAAAAACAATAAAAGTTGGGGTGCACCATTTACTGCTGATCATTGATTCCCGATCTTTAAAAAGCCTGACATGCCGATTTCAATTTTGATAGATGCTGATTTTTGTTTTTATAACCGACAGTTGTTATAAGATCACAAAACCCCTTACATATTTCAATCTTCTTGTAATTAGTCCCCTTGAAACAATAAAAATGTCTGAAATTGCAGATCTGAAATATAAACTGACATTTACAGAATTGATTTTGAGACCTTTACAGAGGTAGATAAGAAATATGGAAAACGTCGGTTTCACTTCCAAGTATTGACCAATCACTGATCTCCTAAAGTTTAGGAAAACTTAAGAAATTAAAAACACCGAAATGAGTGCTTTATTTATTCATGAAATGAGGCCACTCAGAGTTGGATGTATGAAAGCATTTGAACAATTGATCAAGATGCAAAGTAATATGTACATTTTTGTGTCCCCCTTTTTCAATGTCGCCCTGGGTAACTGCCCATTTCCAATCATGCCACTGGTTGTAGCGTTTGTGCTGCAGGGATTTCAGTTTCTTTTATTACTTAATCAAATATTTATTAAAAGGCTCTGTCTTACTGACTTGTATGTCCTGATTTATTAAGCATATTTTTAAACATAATTTATTGCAGTAATTTTTGTTTAAACTCTTACTATCCTTTTTTCCAGATCAAAGTCCTTTCCTGTTGTAATATTTTGACTCTTTTTATCTGATTTTTACGTTTTTAATCTGTAATTAGCTAAATTAACAGAAGAACTGAAATATATGTGTTGAGTCTTAAATTTTTGCATTTCTTTTTTCTTGAATAAATTGGGTTCTTTAATGGTATTTTTAATTGATTAGATGCAGCATTGCGGGCAAAAATATAAAGAAAAAAAAACATTTCAATCAAGGTACGGTAATTAAAAATCCAGATGTGTCAAACAAATCGTTAATAAATAAATTGAAGAAAGCAGTTCTTCCCGCTACAAGACTGTCAATGATAATAGCATTGCTATGATACCCAATAGAAATGGTGAGATGTTCAGGCGCCTTATGAAACTCGTTGTTGGGCTTTTGAAAAAATGCTGGACGGAGAGTTAAACTGCAAGCATCTTAAAAATGTGTTGTCTTCTAAACTACATATACAGGCTGAAGCATATTTTGCTGCAGCTGGTGAAGGCATGAGCAGTGTTATAAATGAATACAAGCTAGAAGTCTCTTTTCAAGCAGTTATGAAAACGGATTTGGTCTAAAATACCAGCTAACAACCAACCTATCGAATACAAACATTTGAGCTCAAGCTCAAATGAAACGATCATCAACCCATATGCTCAAACCCAATACTAAAGTGAGCAAAGATTTATGCTTAAAAGAGATACATATACAAGAAGTTGATTTTTAAGGAATAAATGCTTTAAAACGCCCCCCAAAAACAAAGCACAGTAGAGGTAGTATCATACTGTGGGACCATTGACATTTAATGAGGTGATAATTCCAAAGCACCTCAGTCTTAGGCCTAGCGTAATTGTAAATCATGGAAGAGGTGGCATCATGCTAATTTTTAACAAGGCCCCCAGTTCATGAATCTTATGCTGCAAATACAGTTTATTCCCTCTTTGAATCTGTGGTTAAAAAAATGGGGTTGGGTGTGTGGGCTAGTGAGCCCCCTAGGGGTGAACTAGAGTAATTACAAGGGGAGCACTGTAGAAATAAATTGAAATACAATACATACATGCACACACATACATATATAGAACTAAAAACCTCCAGATTCAAGGCGCAATGCCCCAAACACTAGGCTGCAACAAAAGTTACATACCTACCCAGCATGGCGTCCCTTCCTACACAGCTGTGGAATGGCATTTTTTCCCCCCCTTCTGTCATTTACTTCAGAGATCATTTACCTTTTATGTTTTTAAGCTCTGTGAATGTATGTTTTCTGATTCATTTTATAGCCTGAATGGGTAAATAAAAAAAGGCTTTCCAACAGATTTAACTACTTCTAGACAAAAAAGAAACAAAGATACTTCCCTAAGCCCTTATTAATTGATAACTTCAGAATTTGTTTAAAGGAATAGTACACCCAAAACATGATTAGCCTTCATTTTCTACTCACCCCCATGCTGAACAACACTCTGGAGTACTTTTTTGATATCTCAAATGCATCTGGAGATCTGGGAGGCTTCTTGCTGTCTGCTGACATTCAAATAATGGAGGTCTATGGTGCCCGAGAAAGAAAGGTCCATAAAAGTCCACAAAAAACGTGTCAATATTCCTCCATACTGCTCAGTGTCCTGAGTTGGTAGCGTCCATAATTTACTCGAAAAGAAGTCATTTAGAATGTTTTTAGAGCATAAACAGTAGTGTATAGGATTTCCTAAAAGCGCGTTCACGAGCCTACGGAAACTGCGGCAGACCAAACCAGATGAAAGTGCGCATTCAGCGTCTGCTCTGCCAATAATGCAAGCGTAGAAGAAGAAATTTGCTGTTTACCTGTGCAAAGAAAGAAACAACGAAAGAAAAATGTCTGAGGACTTCAGTGTTGAGGAAGAGCATGAGTTCTTTGCCGAGCTGAATGCGCACTTTCATCTGGTTTGGTCTGCCGCGGTTTCCGTAGCGTCGTGAACTCGCAGGCGCGCGCTTTTAGGAAATCCTATACACTACTGTTTATGCTCTAAAAACATTCTAAATGACTTTGTTTCGGGTAAATTATGGATGCTACCCACTCAGGACACTTGGAATACATTGGACGAGCAGTATGGAGGAGTATTGACACGTTTTTTGTGGACTTTTATGGACCTTTCTGTCTCGGGTGCCATAGACCTCCATTATTTGAATGTCAGCAGACAGCAAGAAGCCTCCCAGATATCCAGATGCATTTGAGATATCAAAAAAGTACTCCAGAGTGTTGTTCAGCATGGGGGTGAGTGGAAAATGAAGGCTAATCATGTTTTGGGTGTACTATTCCTTTATTGTCCTACTAAACTTGGATAATTCCTGCTGCTTCAATTCTTCCTTGTCTATTATCTCAAGCTGCCATGATAAAAAATAATTAAATTATTTTATTTTGGCCTGCAAGTCTGGCCCCATCTTAACCATAATAAACTAACACTATAATAAAGTCTGTTGCACATCTTCTGATACATTAAACTGATTTCATCCCAGGGAGTTTTAGCATCATTATACTGACGTCTGTGCAGAACATAAAAAACTAAGGACAGGCTAAGACAGAAAAAAATGCAATTTGAAACATTTTATTTTTTTTCCCCTCAAGAACAAAATATAAACCCAGCTCCAGCATTTATATAAGCCATTGAAACTCTTCAAATATTTACAAAAGATACACATTTATATATCTATAAAAGAAAGCAAATAAATAAAACCTGTTGCTGATCGTGAAAGACGCATGCGGCCTCACGGTGACAGAGCCGGCGTTACGTCCATCATGAATTTGAAAGAAGCCTGAAAAAGAAGTAGCTGATCGACTGGGCTAAATATGTCATAAAATGTGAATAAAAACATTCAGGAAAAAAAAAAAAAAACCTAACTAATGTGAAAAATATTCAATATTAAAAAAAAAAAAAGTTATAGGACACTGGCACATTTTCTGGTTCATGATAATTGTTAAATTACAGAGCTTTTCTATATTCTATCAACTTGAATTCCTTAACTCAACACAGTAGTAAATAAAAACAGAGCAGCTTTAGCATGTCAAAAAGTATTTGGGTGAAAAAGCAATGAATCCTTAAATGTTCTCTTATCAGAAAAAAAAAGTATAAATTGCTTTAATGAGCTTAAGATTGGTGCACATTGCCCTCTATTGGTTGGTTACTGCAATGATGAGTAGAAAGGAGCTGAACAAGCCCCAGGGATCCTTTTTTAGTAGGAAATACAGTTAGTATTTATACAAGAGCTGTACATTTGAAAAAAAAGCATATAGTAGACTGTTATTCATAATACATATTTCTAATTGCAACCCTAAGATGTTAAAACTCAACTCCTGATTTTATGTTTCTTCAACATGGGGACATCTCCATTCCAACTCTGATGAGGACAGTGCAAAAATAAAAATCAACCAATGTCACTGTATGGCTTACAGATGGAAAATAATTTGGAGCCTTGCTTTATGTGCCAGACGAGGGGCGACGCGGCACAGTGTTTTTTCAGAGCAGGCACTTCAGTACTACAGTTCCTTCAATCGCTGGCTTCAGTTCAGAAGTTTTCTTTCGTCTGCTCCACAGAAGCAAACCACCACCTATGTCTGCTCCTTTGAAGTTCTAGGTCAGCATATTGTAACGCCGACTTACTGAGGTATGATGAATCCTGTGGCTCCTTGCTAGCTTAGCATCTTAACCCGTAGTTGGTCTTGTAAAACTAGCTCAGCTGTTACCTGAAACACCAAAAAGAAGAGAAATAAAGTGAAGATGGATTACTATAACCTGCAAACTAGAACTCTGAGACGCAAAGGCTGAACTCACCCTCATCGTCGGAGTCAAACCCGAAGAGGTTTGAACACTTCTGCAGCTGGTTGTGACGCTGTAGCTCTGCCGCGCTGCTGAAGGTGGAGAAGCACTTGGTGCACCGGTGCCTTTTCAGGGTTTCTTTCACGCAGGTCAACTGGGGGGGGACGTCTCCGCTGCTGGACTGGAACAACGGCATCTCTTTCCTACGCTTTGGCATGGTGGTGAACTTTTCGTCCAGGTACGCTGTGGGCGGTAGGCGCAGGTATGGTTTCTTGCCGTATGCAGCAAGGGTTTTCTCACACGGCCTTAATTTAATGTTGTGAATCCATCCTTTTTCGTCGGGTGTTTCGGAGCGACTGGCAGAATCGAGGTCAGACATTGGAGGTTTTGGAGGATCCCCCATTTCAGCTGGAATAAGCTCTCCTTCCCCTAGAGGATTTGCAGGCTGCTTGGCTACTAGTTTACATTTTTTCTTGGTAGCCTTTCTAGTGCCGTCTTTGTTAGTCTCTTTGTGTCTCTTTGTTGCTCTACTGGTCTCAGACTTTTCTGCCATCTTTGATTTCTTAGGTTTTTCCACTTTATCAGCTCTCTCCTTGCTTTGTTCTGGAACGTTGGATGGACCAGCACTTTGAACGTCAGGTATTGATGGAAGGGGTGAAACCTGAGTCGCATTTTTGGGAGTTTCCTTTCTTTTTCCTTTCTCGTCAAGGGTGTTGTTCATCAACCTTTTTAATCCCTTCAATATCCCCTCAGCTCCTTTAGTTTTATCTTTTTTATCCTGTTCTTGTGCACCCATTTTCGATGTGGCAAGATTCTCCAAAGTTTGATTTTTGCCTGGATGTTTTCCCTTCACTTTCTGATTGACCCTTTTCTTCAACAATCCAGCTTTCTTCATCGGCTTCAAATTGGCAGCGGGGGTTTTCTCATCCTTCCTGGCGCCTGATACCTTTGAAATTCTTTCAGTTTTCGCCCTCAGTGGTTTCGGTGGCATGTCTGTGGATTTACCTGACCCATCAGGCACGGAGCTAATGGCGTTAATCAAACCTAAATCCTGGTTTTCTGCTTTCTTATCTACAGAACCTTCGACTACGACTTTGCCTTTAACTGGTTCAGACTCCTCTGCCTTCGCAGAAGCAGAACTTTGTTTTTGACTCGTCTTCATAGTCTGTTTATTGTCTTTAACTTTACCAATGTCATTTTTCTTTCGCTTTCTAGAATCTGAAGGCACAGAATGTTTTTGGATCTTGTGGAGTTTCGTTTTGTCCACAGTTGGCTTCTGTCTGTTGAGATCGGAGAATCCAGCCTTGTTAGAAGTGGTGGAATGGGATTTGCTGGATATTTGGTTCCTTGTAATCCGCTTGGCCTTTGATGTTTTTGACTTTGAATCATTCGGTGTCTTTTCTGTAGTTGTCCCTTCATCCTGAGCTGCTTCACCCTTCTCTTTTACAGCTTTCGCCTTGGTGCTTATTCTTGGCAGCATCAGGGTGTCTGGAGGGGGCATCTTCTGACCGGCAGCAGTTTTGCTTAACCTCGGAGGGCACTTTCTTCTTCCAGGACCTCTAGTGGACATTCTGATGTTTCTTAATTTTATCCTCGTCTTTACTTTGTTTCTGTGTTTCAAAAAGGATGATGAGATGACTTTATGACTTTTAGGAACTTGCTTTGTGGCTTTGGCTTCCCTTAAAGATTGCCTTAACCTAAGATTAATGGTCAGAGGTGGAAGAGAGGTTTCTTTCTCAGAAACATTAGAATCTGTGCTTTTATTTCTGGGTCTAAGTTTGTTTTGTATTTGAGCTGATGAACCAGTCGGAAAAGTAAAGATACTTTTTGCTTGTTCTGATAACTTAGTACCTTTTCTTAAGGTTGACTCAGAAGCATGTTCTGATCTCTGAGTTTTCTTTCCATGTGGTGTTTTGAGAGCTTTTTCGTCTCCTTGTCCGTTTAAACTGGAGTCCGACATGGCTAACTTGGAAGCATAGTGCTCCCTTTCGTGAAGGTTCAGTGCCCAGAGACAAATGAATAACTTGGAGCAGCCGGGGCGACAGCACATTGCCTGCAGAGGACTGTGTTTCCTGGCGTGGCGTCTCATTTCCATTCCGCTTTTAAACCTGGCCTTGCAACCCCTGTGAGGGCAGGGATGCCTGGGGATGATTCTGTGCCTCTCGACGTGGTGCTGGAAGTGTTCAAAACTCCACATGACCCTCATGCAAATGCTGCATTTGTTGTCGGCCACACGGAAGGCCAGCTCTAAAGGCTTGACGTCGCCGTAGTGTTTGTCCAGTGCATGGTACAGGAGACCAACTTTGTTCTTTAAGAGATCTGCAAACCACGTGCATCTTTGCGAAGGACAGGAAACCATTTTCTCTGGCGCCCCGTCTGTTTTTTTCTGCATACCCCCAATCTTTTTAGTGCTTTCTTGTTGGAGCTGTAGAGATTCTCTCCTTTTCTTTCCATCTTCTGAAGATTTTACCAACTCCTTTTTGATTTTAACTGTTGAACTTTCAGATATTTTACAGCGTTGCACGTTATTACCTACGTCTCGTGTTCTTTCGGCAGGACTCTGCTGTCGAACAGATTCCTGCTTTGAATCTTTCTTCAACTTTATAAATTCATTCTTTTTGCCAATGTGCCCATTTACCCTGTGAGAGGAAGTTTCAGAATCAATATGCTTGGGTTTTTGTTTTTCATGTGAAGACCTTTCACTCGTTTGCCTTTTATTAGATCTTAAAGTTCTAGATTCAGAGGTGCTTATATCTTCCGAGGTCTTAGGAGATACTGTAGATTCCTTTGGTTTCTCTTTACCCTTGTGTCTATGAGGCGCGTTTGTCGTCTTCGTTTTGGGCAATGAGGCGCCGGTTTCTCCGGCTTTCAACCTCTTCATTTTCTCGATGTGATCAGAGAGGTGCATCATGGCCAGCAGGTCGTCTTTGAAGACTGCTTTGCAGAAAGTGCACTCGTCTCTGCGGAAATGGAACATTGCGTGCTCGACGACACGGGCCCCCGTGAAAAATTTGCTGCATAAAGTACAGTAATGCTCCAGCTTGGATTCCTCTGTTTCTGGAGCCATTTCCATAAGATCACTGTTTTCAGAAGTCTCTGAACGAGCATCATGAGCTTTAGCGTCCTCTTTCTTAACTTGGATATCAACCACAGAGGTGTCCTCCTCCCGCGCATTGGTGCTAGAGGTAGTCTGTATTTTCTGAGCATTCTTTGGCTTACCCTTTCCTCTCAGACTTTTGGAGAGGCCTGGCAGAGGTTTGTTCCTCTCCTGATCTTTATCAGGGAACTGCTCAGGTGCACCTTTAGTAACTGTGTCAACTGCTGACGTTCGTGTCGACTTGTCCCTTGCACCATGTTTGATCGTTGCAATACAAGAAGCAGCTAAATGGATGTTTTTGGCCGGGCTTGTGTCATTACTATGAAGCATGTTTTCCTTCTGAGTTTTTCTCAACTCCTCTGTAGCATCCCCACTGGTAAGAAGACCACTGCTTGGCATCAAGTTCTTGTGGTCGGACAACATTGACCCGGTACCTTGCTCCATGTTATTGACTGCAACATTCTCAGATTGGGAAAGACGAACATTATCTGACTCAATATTGTTCATTGAAACTGGAAGGATCTCATCTGTGGTTCTCCTATTCCTCGCTACCTTGGAGATTTGGTCTATGCCTTCTCCAGACTTGGAGACTTTGTCTAAAACGGAAGCTTGTGATGCAATGGTGACTTTCATTTCGACAGCAGAATCCTCAAAAGCTTCTCCTCCCGACTGAGCTTGGTGGTAGTCCTTCGCGGTTTTCAATTCAGTCACACGTGATGGAGAATGAGGTGATGCTTCTCTCACGGTGTTTTGCAAATCCGTCTCCGTTTCAGTTTGAGGTGCTCTTGAGGAATGGGCTTCTTTTGTGCTTTGCGCTTTAGAAAGTTTTTCTGAACCATGCGAACCCTTCTCTTTGACCTTTTCTGGTGTTGTTCCTTTAGAATCAGAGACGGGTCTTTCGCTAGGTTCTGAATCCTTTGATGGACTTACCTGCGCCGATGAGCGTGTTATCGTTGAAACCGAGCTATGAATGTTTAAGCCACTACCTTTTCCTTTTTGCCGTCTTGCGTAGCAATGCAACAGTTGCACAAACATAGTGGAGTCCCGTGCTCTTAGAATTACCTCTTTCCTATGTCCCGTCTTAACTGGGGGGGAAGTTTCAGGATATTTCACCATCGGTTTGTAAAGAAGCACTTGAGGGAATCTTCTGGGTCTATTGCAGGAATCATCGCTAAAGGTATCCATCAGCTCATTGTCTGGAAGGGACAGCTCCAGGATGATTTGTGGAGAGTTTGTAGGTTTAATAGAATCCAAAGAGAACCCGTTTTTGTACTCATTGTTCTCCTTTGTATTTAGATGTGTGTTTACTGGAGGTTTGTATTTTGTATTGTTCTTGATCGGACCACTTTGAGATCTCTTCATTACGCAGGATCGAAGAAGCTTTTGCTGTTTCAAACCGTTCCTTTTCATCTTTATAGGGACATTCTCCAGAGCCCCTGAATCTTCCAGGAGCCACTTTGGCTTCTTGATCTTTCGTTTTGGCAAGTTTCTCTCTGAGAGGCGTGTTGTCCGCCTGTGTTCATCATATCTCAGTGTCAAACTGCCATGTATTCTGTCCAGCTGCCAAAACGAGCGCCTCAAAGGTCCCGAAGAAGATTCCCTCAGTGCTTGTGACCTGTGCTTGCCTTTTCTTTTCAAAGTGTGGTTATTCAGGCGCATTTTATCCGTGTCCACCCTTAATCTCTTAGATCCAGTGTTTGAGTCTCGCTTACAAAATACATCTTCCTTATTGTGTCGTTTCTTAGCTGAAGCTCTTCTCTGACAAACTGAGCGGAGGGCAGAACTCCTTGTGCAATACTTAGAGATCCATTTGTCCTCCATTATTTCTTCTAGTGCAGCACTGACCACCTTCTCGCTCATCAGCTTCAAACAGTTGGTCCGCAAAGCGAAGAGATTCCAAAACTCCGGATCAAAATACAGGTCCTTCTTTAAGACCTGCAAAATAAAAACAAAACAAAAAAAAGCATGAGGAACATTTGTAATAGTATCTACAGAAAGCAATTAGTCTTCAAACTTTTCATTTATCATGAGTAGAAATCAACTTGAAAAAATGCTGAAAAACTTCTTATAATTCCAGATGGATGTTTGTGGTTCACTGTCCTAGAAAACAGACTCAGCTCAGCTTTAACTATTACAATACTTGGTGTGAATCTTCTAGTAAGCTTGGGTCCAGGAAATGCACTCCTTTTAAACACTAAGAAAAGGATTTGCAGGGTTTGGGCTCATTATAAAACATTTCATGTGAACTAAACCATTTAGCAACTACTTGCTCAGAGACTGAACAAACATTGTTTTTTATTTTTACATATATACAGGCAGGATCTTTTGTCAGTTGGTTCTTTCATCCTTAGGCTAGAATGAAAACCTGCTTTATATCTCAGATTGACATTGACTGGACTTTTCTGTATTGACCAATCAGACAAAAAAAAAAAAAAAAAAGACCTGATTGGAACTATTCCTTAACGTCAGGTATTTTCTAGAGAGTAAATTCGCAAAAAAAAAGAAGACCTTTTGCATTGGTTCTGTTGGTTGACTTTGAAAAACTGTGGTCTAAGATGTTCAGATGAAGCACCAAAGAAACCATACATCTTATCTATTGATCATAAATCCATCAGTGATTAAACTTGGCCACTTGTAACTTGACCTGCAGTGGGCCAGGATAAGATAAACTAACAGATAAAAGATAAAACAAACATCAGAACAAAAATCTTTAGAGTATTTCAAATCTTGAAAACATTTGCATTCAACCATAATCTTGTAATCAAATCGATCATCTTTTCCTTCAATACCAGTAACCCCCATCAAGCCCATATCTCCTTTTGATTATGATGGTAAAATAAAACGTTTGCAAGTTTCATTTCTTAAAACATACATAAATGCAATAGGTTAGAACTTAAAGAGAGCCTGGTAGGTGAATCTAGTTGTACTTCAGGAAACCAGCCCACAGGACTTTATTACCACCACCATGCTCAATCTCTGTCCCTTACAGCAATTTCAACCTCCCCTCCAGTTTCGAGTGGAATGTCCAGGTACACCAGTCTACACTAGCAGTAGTTGGTTACGCATGAATATTTTCTCAACTCAGTGACACAACGATGATACCTCAAATCCCTGCTCAAAATGTACCTCTTAGTTTTGTTGAGGATGGTTTTGATTTCTTCGGGTCTCCATACAGAGGATGGCAAAGAGAATAGATCTGCAATGTCTCTTACAGACTAGGATTATATTACTGATATTAAAAAGCTGATATAAAACTACCATAGATGCCTTTTCTTGAATTTGCACTATTAAATCGTTGAAAACTGACCTTTGACAAATGCAGACATTTCACAGCCTTCAGCATCAATTATTGCCAGCAAAGTTTTTATTATTATGCAAAAACATCAGTTATGTTCAGTAGAAATAAAAATGTGGACTCAATCCTCCCTTTTTTTTCCTAAAATATGAAATTCTGCATTTCTAACAGAGTTGCTCAATACCCATAAAGGATAACATTGCAAGTTGATGGATTTAGGAAGCAGAGATGCAGTGCAGCAGGTAAAAAGTGACTCCTTAGGAACCCAAACTCTTTCCCCCACCCATCAGAATGTGCACAGAGTGTCACCCCCTACCTGTAGGGTCTCAAATCGAATATTATTTCCTATCGGGCTGTCGTCCACATGGTACTCCTGATCGGGGTGCATATATAGCAGGTACACCATCTTATAAGCCTCAACGGTGGGCTCCAGGAAGAAAACGAGAAGAGCGCACACCCGGCAGACGTCCAGATCGCTGGGCAGCAGGCCGGCGATGGTTTTATAAATGAGTGTCTTAGTGAGGACGTCGCATGGAAGACGAGACCTCAGAGCGTTCGCACAGAGCTCCACGCAGAACTGGACAGCGTCTTCACCAACCTGGACGGGTGGAAACGGAACAGTCAGGGAATGGTAAAACCTCTCCTCGCTTCTAACAAAAAGCAACATCTCTGGACTCACCTCCTGCAGTACGGCTCTAATGAAGGGGAAGATGGATTTGACGTTTGTCGCAGACCGCATCAGTTGATGACACTGTTCTAATAAAGTCTGTTTGGACGAATTTAACCGTCTATGAAGATTAGTCCACACAAGGACTAGCTCGCTACAAACAAACAAACGCTCTCATCACCGTTCTATTATGATCACTTAGAAGCTCAACCATATATTCATAGTTTACTTACCATAGATGGAACATATCCCCCCTTTGGAGCTGCTGAGATAGACAGGCAGTGGTGAGGGCTAAGAGCAGCTCATCTGGTTCCTGACCCTCCAAGCTGCAGATGATGTGCAGCGCATCTTTACCGTTAATGTCAGCCACCTAGAAACAGTAAAACACACTGAGCAACAAGACCACAGACCGATTGATCGAGGAAGGAGGGTTAGAACTGAGCTCCACTGACTTCTTCTTGCAGGCGGTCGTGCTGATCTGTTTTGATAAGCCATGAGAGGTAGAACTGGAGGAAGAACAACAGCTGTCCTGCAGCGGGATGCCAGACGCAACATTTAGCCAAGGCGGCGGCCTGGCCGTCCCGTCCACAGGATGAAAGGTAGCGAACACGGAGTTCGAGGAACGCCGGTGGCTCGGAGCTGATGTAACAATCCACTGGGGAGAGAAAACATATTTTGAGTTTATGAGCTCTAAGGAGAATATTAAAAAAAAGATTCCAGCCACATTGAAATGACGGTGTACCTTCGTTCTGAGGTAAACTGGATTCGCTGAGGATGGCCTGTAAAGCTGGGCTGGTCCAGAGCCCGCCAATCTGGAGTAAACGGCCCACTTGAAGTAAAAAAACATTTTCATACTTCGCCAAGACCGAATGACACTCCTGGAGGAGAACAAGGACAAACACACGTTGAAGAGCTCTTATCTAATTAACCTAGAAAACTCAGAAAATAAGCTAAGATATTACAAGATACTAGGAGAAAAAAAAATATGGACATCATCTGATGTTAAAAACCTATACACTGCAAAAAAACTATTTTATGATTAAAGACAATAACTAACTAGGACATAAAGTCAGACATTAGTGACAAAACACTGATGAAGATACACATGAAGATATTTTCCAAAGTTTAAGTTCTTATTCTGGGATGATCTCTACATCAGAGCATCTCTGGGACCTGATGCAGCCTTTCAGATGTTTTCAAACCTTCCTGAACTTTAACTATTGCAGCAGCTTGAAAGCAAAGTTTTACAAACCCTCGCATAAGGCCCAGCCTGCTCCTTCTCACCTGGAATGTAGCGGTGAATATTTTCAACGGCTCCTCGTTGAACTCCTTCTGGTCGAAAAACAGCAGCAACTCAAAAACACTCCTAGAAAAAAAAGGGAGACATTTCAGTGTGTGTTGAGGAACTGGGTGCACTAAAGAACTTCTGGATCTCAAGAGAAAATCAAGAGAAAACAAAAGGAGAAATTATGATGGAGAAGTAAGGAATAAATGACAAATATAACAATAACAGGTTTATTTTAGTTTTTTTTTCTATATCATTATTTTTTTTTTTTATGATTTAAAAGTTAAGAAAGAACTAATCTTCTCCCATTAAGATGCAACTGACCTAAAAACGGCCCTGCTACTCTTAATTCATCCATTTCTCAAAGAATCTTAAGGTGTAAATACCCTGGAAGCGCTAACAGGGCCTAAGCCAGCAGAGTTGGATAAATACTAGGACTGAACGATTTTGCCAAAAGTCTAAATTGCAATTACTTTCAACCAACATTGAGATTGCGATTTTCCTTTGGACTGAGCATGTCGATGTTTTACTGCAGGATTTACTGTAACATTTACTTGAAATAGTTCTTACTTTTGCTATAATGCATAGATCTAGGTGTTTGTTGCAACTCTCTGTTCCCTTTTGTGCAACAGCATACCCACTTCAATCTTTTTACCGCCACCTAAAGGACTGGAGGGACAAATTTAGTGTCTTACTCTTGCAAATGTATTTCGACTAAAAACTGAGTGCCTGTGTGCTTTGAAAATTAAATTTTTTCTAAACTGTGATTGTATTGCAAATGCAATTAATTGCCCAGCCCCAATACGCATATTTGAAAACAAAAATTTATGCCAGCAACCAGTTTCTGAGCAGGGAAGAAATTTCCTCAAATGGGGAAGTTGTGGCACACATAACATTCGTGTAGCTTGCGCGTATGCTGCTAACTCGCTGTAACAGGTAACACGTAATTACATCTTTAGTTTAGGCTTAGTTGATAAACTTACTCTGATTAGTTTAAAGACAAAAGTAAAAAATAAACAAAATCAAAGATAGAAAACAGGTGAAGTAGATGTAAAAACATATTCCATACCTTCCTTTGGTTATACTGCTTTTTTAAGATCATTTTATCCCGAACACAAACTTTAATAGCCAGTATTTGCATGTGGCAGAAAACTTAGAAGTAAATCTTTTTACAGGCAACTTCCAATTTTCTTTCTCCACTTCCATGATAAATCAGCCTCACTCTAGTGTAAACACTCAAACTTTTACCCCATTCTGTTACTTGCAATTGTTTGGATACTGACTGGAAGTAAATGATGACAGTAATCATGGTCAGTCTGAATTTAACCCAGTGGAAAGGTTTTTCTCAATTACTGAAATAAACTATTTAGAATTAGTTACAATTGGGATTCGTCTTTTGAATTAGATAATTGATTAAATGTTGCACTTGATTTTTTAGAACAATAAGCAGGATACAGAAGATAACTGCAATTTCAGGACGACCCAATCAGGTATTGGTTTAAAAAATAAAAAATACTATGATATATCTGCTGATATCTATAATCTCCAACATAATCAAGATGATAGAAACAACACTTTAATCTGCCTCTGGTAAATTATTGTTCTCTGTTTGGACTAATATCCCCACATACAGCCTTTTCTAACATTCAGCAATACAAAGTAAGTAACAGTAGGTCTGATTAGAGCTGATATCGTATTGGGTCAATATTGACATCAATCAATACTGAGAGCTGCGTTATCAGCATCGTATCAGACATAAAAAGTTTGATCAGGATAGAAAACGTTTTTATTTTATGATACGAAAACACTAAATAGTCCAATTTATAGCTGTTTTAATAAATACAGTTTTACACTTCTTGCATGTGAACAAAGTAAAATAAAATGAAGCCTTTATTAAAGGGCAAATATAAAGGAGTGCGTCTAGTTTTATCGTGTGTGATGGTAGATTATCCTCTCTTTTCTCTATGTGGCTGGTCTAAATCGTGCTAAAATGCTCCAAGTAATACAAATCAAGAGTATTTGACAGTATGCTGGGCGCCTCTAGGGATCCCTGGCTGTGTAGTCATACGTTCGCTTACAGCAACAGTTGGATTCGATATACCAAAGTTGCAACGGCTTGTGTTCTCTGTTGTATAGTTTAATAAAGTGCCTGATGGCAATAAAGCATCGTTTATTTTTTATGAAATATTTCATTTCATAAAGCAACAAACCCTAGCTAGTTGCGCAGTTTTAGTACAGCCACAGCTCCAGACGGATTTCCATATCATTATGAACAACAAGAGCCGAGATGGCGGAGACCCACATCTCGAACCCCACTGGCCCGGAGCCATGAGCCAAACCAGGTAAAAGCCACATCCAAAGGGCAATGTTTCCCACCCGGACAGCAGAAAGGACCCGGTGCTTGGACCGCTCACTGCTATCGGATTACCGAGGGACTGCTTTCCCCACCCAGGCTCAGCAGCGCAACACAGCCTGCTATCCAGAACTGCCAGCACCTCACACAGGGCTCCAACACCGACCGCCAGCCTTCACGCCCAGGCGCCACAGCACGCTGCCAACCGTACCGAACCCAGCCATCACAGAACCAATCCGAATACCATAATCTCCTCTTCAAACAAAAGGTTAGACTCTTATTTAAACTAATTAAAACACAGAACCATTTTGGAAATGTCCTGAAAGATAATGAACTTCAACCGAAAATTTAATTAGAAACTATAAGTATAAGTTTTCTTAATGAACTTTAATCAAGAATTATAAGATAAAAAGGTGATCTTAAGGGTAATCTTTATAGCCAGAGTTAGGGATGTCCCAATACAATTTTTTAATCACAGCTTAGAGTTATGATGAGTTTATTTAAAAAAAAACAATTCTTTTTATGACCATCATTGGTTATTATTAATGGAATAATCTAATCTTTGACCAATTTTTACAAACAAAAAAAAAGAAGTTCTGCCTTTCCCTTTAGAGTTCTGCTCACTATAGACTGAGATTCATTTATATCTAAAGGTGGTAAAACTTATAAGTGTACGGCTTTATTGTATTAGATTTTGTCATTCTGTAGCTTTGCATTAAATGCCTAATTCAGCTGTTAGAGACCTAAACTAAAGTCAAAGCTACAAGCTAATCAAAAATCAATTTTTTTGTGTCTGTCGTGAATCCAAAAACATGCACAATTCAACAAAGCAAATATAGCGTGTGCACTTACAGAGCCAGACTGCCGAGCGTGCGGTGCACATGATCACAGCTTGTTGGGAAGAAGGCAGAGGCTCGAGAAAAATGACGAAGGGCTATTTCTAGGATCCTGAGCTGGGGCAGCGGGACGCGCCACTGAGAGGCGTACTCCTCCACCACCTGCAGAGGCAAAAAAATTAAAATAAATTCACAGATGTGTCAGAGTCTTCCCTCTATAATTATAGTGGGGAACCATAAGCACCAGGTACTAAGATCATCAAACCAGTTTTTCCTCCATGAAAATGTGTTTAAATAAACATGATTTAATAAAACAAGACTATAGTTTTTGATGGAGATGTGCTGATGTCGCCCTCTGATGGTAAAGATCCAGGAGAATGGTAGTTGATGTCAACATGGCCGATCCCAGTCTGCTCACTGGGAGCTTCTTACCAAACTTTTACAGCTCACATATTTATTCCTCAAGTCAAACAAGCAGATGGCAATTTTATTATGTTCAAAATGTTTTTTGATGACAATGATCATCTCATTATAACCTTTTGTGGTCCAGACCACAGATGAGAGAACATCTAAACAATATGGCTGCGTTGATTTAAGCCAAATATAAAAAGGGAATCTCTAGGGAAATAATCGTTTTGAAGATATATCGTGATATTCGGCTGAGCAATATAATATCGATCTTTCACTTCTTAGTATCGATTAAAAAAAAAAATGGTTACATAAAACATTGATGGGAAAATGGGCTACCTCTGCACCACCACTCTGGCAGAAAGTGCTGTGGAGCCCTTTAACTGTGCGTGCAGCACCAAATCTGTATTTGAGGCAGTCACAGTGGAAGAAAACCCCAAACAACATGGATAATAATACCTAATCAATATTTTCTGATGAAAATATACAGCACTTGCTGTTTTATCTCATCATTTGATTTTGATAGCTGGGGAAAATATGGCAATATATAGTGATACTGCAATATCGTGATAATATCGTGTCGTGACCCAAGTATCGCGACATGTATCGAATCGCAACACTCATGCCAATACTCACCTCTACTGGAGACATCAACTATGAATAATATCCGAGCATGTGGGACACATCACAAGCATGTGGGATGTATAATATTTTACTGGCCAATGGCATTTGTTTATACAACTGGCTTGAGCAAATTCTATAAAAAGTTGCGAGTCAAACCAGGCTGTTAGGGTCAGGTTTTCATTTTTGCATCTCTATAATTGTGCTGTTCATCATTTTGAGCAGTGTATCTATATGAATTCATGCATTTTAACACCCATCCTTTAACAGAGTTGAACTGAGGGCATAAAAGGCTCCTTGGAAACACAGATATGTACTGAAACAACAAGTAAATACAGAATTTAAAGGCAGAATACAAATTCTAGAGAGGTAGAAAATACCTTTAGTTTTATTATCAATAGAAATATAATCAATTTGTATAAAAAAAAAAAAGGAATATCTGTTAAGAGAACAGCTGATCTAGATTTTCCCTGATGAGATCCTACCGTTTACTGTAAACGACACACTTTGTGGTGGATGTACAGTAAAGACGATTTAGAAAAATAATTATTTTTTACAACTTTCTTATTGTACAGAAAGTCCATCTATAGTATTCCTAAAAGGGAAAACTAAATGAAGCATCTTTGAATGCAAAACTTGACTCATCTAACTCAGGACCAATAAAAAGCTTCTCTTTATCTTTCCTACTTCCTAATAACATAATAGCACATAATGTTACAATGACATAAGTCTTGTACAATAAATATCATTTATTATTAAACCGTTTCTGATAATAGCGTCACGACAAAAGCCAAAAAATAATGTTAAATTGGTCAACATTCTTCACACCATTATTTTTTTCAAATGAGGCCCATGAAATAAATACTTCAAAAATGCAATTAAAAGAAATTTCGCTCTACGGCAAAAATACACAAAGTACATTTCAAGTATAGATATTTATAACACGTTAATACACTGGTGACATTACCTTGTTATTAATTAATCAAGGTAAACGTCGAAGCTAATTGTTCTAAGTGTGTGATTAATGTGAAACTAAAGATACAATGTGGCTATATTAATAAAACATAACTGGTAAGTGGTTGACTGGAATGACGGTGGTTGATAGCTGAAAACAACTTGATGGTACATCTTAAGTGTTAGCTAAACTGCTAGCATATTTTTAGCTGAACAGAAAGCATTTAACGTCACGGTTTTAACTGCTATATAAGCTTTGTTATTTTAGTCCACCATCTTGGTAGGCGATTGAAAAACTTGGCATGTGATATAAAATAAGTTTGACTCGTTTTCATGGTTTGAAGGGGGGAGAAGCATTAGCGGCTACATGCTAACCAGCTCCGTTGCTAATGTAATTCTGGGGGAGGGGAACAGGCTAACATCAACGCTCTCCTCCTGAACAACGAGCCCGGTATACAGCTTATAACATCGGACCCTTACCTTGCAGAAATCAACGCAGAACAGCTCACTGCGAGTCTCGGACTCGTCACCAGAGTACCGACTCGACAGACTCTCTAACTGTCTCTCTAGCCCCTCTGGGTCGCTGTTACTGCTCCCCTCCGCCATACTGACTGTCTAGCCTCGCTCGTAGCATTTACCACACAAAACACATAGCCAACATCCTCGGTGCTGATTGGACAGAGCTAGAACTGAGGGGTGCGCTTCTTTGCCACAACTCTTCATCCCGATGTTTGCTTGTCGAGGGCGGAGCTATGAGAAGTGAGCGACGAGCTTTGACGCGGTGTTCCAAGGTAACAGTTACACGCGGCACTAAACACATGGTAGACAAAAACACTGGCATTCAGGTTGTTTTAAAAAAAATGTGGCTTTGGTAGATTAATACATATTAAAATACAGAAAAGTACTGGGGCCATTAAATAAATAAAAAAACTCATGAAAACGGTCATCCCCCCCAAAAAAGGAAAAATAATTTGACTTAACTGTTAATTTTATCAACCTTATAATTTTTTACATAAAATAAAAAAAAAAATAAAAATTTATTCTGACTTTATTGTTAATTCTATTTATTGTTAATTTTATTAACTTTATATTTTTTAAATGAAATTAAAAAATTAAAATAAATAAAAATGTATCTCGTTTGAAAAGTCATACCAAAGCCCACGATTATCATTACAAAGAAGTTGGAAGCAGGAATATTAAAAGCAGTCATATTTCTAAGAGAATAGTTCTGAGGAAAAAAGTCAGAATTTTGAGATAAAAATAATATAATCTAAAATAAAAAAACAAACAAATTGTCTCATTGAATGGGCTTTGTTTTTTTTTTTAAATGGCCCTAATCATCTTCTGTATTAAAAAGCTGTCCAAATAAAAATTTATTTTGAATTTATTTAATACAAATTAATAATAAGAAAAATATTTTACAAGTCGTTTACTTTCTCACACCTTTAGGAACAATCTGACTAGTTTGCGGTGCTCAAAGAACTTAGATATTCAAGTAGATACAGTCAAGTGATAAAATTGGATCTCTAATTATGTAGGATTGTTATAGCACGGTAATACTGATCAAACATTAAGTATTTAATAAAAGTTATAATTGCATTATTACTGTAATTTTAATATGAATGGAAATGCACAACTATAAAATTAATATTTAACTAAGCAATTAAGTCAAATGAGGTATAAGATTAATATGATAGCAAAGAAAAAGGGATCCCACTAACAAATGGTAGTAGTGCGTATGTTCATCCTATGCATGAATTGGTTGTCTCATGGTACTTAGGTTTCTCACATTATTTCGGGTTAAGTGGTGTCTCTAAATTGCCCTGAGCTGTGTGCATGTGTCTGTGTCCCTGGACATGTTGAGACTTTTGGGACATAGATAGATCATTAGAACGAACAGAGCTGTTCTCTTAATTTTTTTTCTGTTTTTGCTCTTAATTAAAAAAACTATCTAGCACTTCACACTCAAGTTGGAAGATCTGTTCCAACTCCAAGCAACCATGGGTTTTTTTTAATTTCTGAAGGGAAGATGCTTTGGCAAGTTTGGAATTTTTCAGGTTCAAACTTAAAAGAATAGTAATAATAAAAAAAAGTTTAATTTTAATTCTATTCAAAATGTTGTCTTAATATAGTTTATATTAGACTCTTTGCTGATTCAGTTTGAAGTTTACAGTATACAGTTTACTGTAGTTTACAGCACAGTTTTTGATATTGATTTAACTTAGAAGAACATGACTATATACGCTTTCTCTTGTTGGCTAGACTGCAACACTTGTTTAAAAGATGACCAATAAGGGAGCTGGTTACATCCGAAGAGCAACTGTGATTAGTTAATCTGGTTTTCAGATCAAGAAGGATCCCAGAAAAGGTTACAGGAGATAAAAAAAAAAAAAAATGCAATTACTTCTTCAGATGTGTGATTATGGAAGGTATTTATATATATATATATATATATATATGAAAATACATTTTCAAATTGCAATAGTTAATAATGGATTAATGAATACAATTTACACTTCCTCTTTAATAATTCAATTCAAAATGTGCAATGACAAAGACCCTTTTAAAATTTCATTTCTGATTGCACGATTTAAATCTTACATTTAAAATGGATGTTTTTCTTTTTCAGTGTCTCTTCTGGTCCTCCATACATGTAGAGCATTGTTGGACTAAATAGCATATTTGGCTCTTTTAAACACCAGATCTAACATGAAAAATAGATTATTTTTGCTAGGAAACTTAAAATAGGTCAAAATGTGGATTTTTAGGAAGATAGGGATGTTTAAAACATGGTGAAAACATCTCAGAAATGTTCCCCAGATCAATAAGAAATAAAAAAAAAAACAATAAACAAATTCCCATGCCAAGAAGGGCAGCACTGTGATTTGATGCACTCTGGACTCATTGCGGGAGGAGGGAAACAAAAGGACCCTAACTAAAATAACGGCTGAATTCGAACTCAGGGGCTGCATCCTCCTAAGGCCAGATTCGTAGGCCGATTACGACATTGCGTGGCACCGTCTGGTCGGATTCCAAGACTCCTCATTATGTGGCCTACTAATGGTCTTTCTTTTTGGATGGGTTTGATGTATCCTATGTAGCCTTGGTAATCCCATGATTCATTGCTCCGTGACCAGAAGAAAAAGGAACTTGGCGCCCAACAGTGTTGAATATTGGAAGTTCAGTTTAATATAATACAAGTATGCGAATAGTTCCAGCTGAAATATATGAAAATAGATTTTTAATGGTTATATTGAGTCAGATATGTGGTAATATTTGATTTATCTAAAGGTTTTTATCTGTTACAATGGGTTTGGCTGTAGTTTAAGGACAGATTCTGACATATTTGCAGTGTGGGGACTATAAATCAGGTTTTTTTTTGTTTCAATTTTTAACAATTTGCTTAACTAAATAGTTTTTGTTGTTGAAAATAATCTATTTTGCAGATATATTTTTACATTGTTTAGATTTACTTATATCTTTCTACCCCTTTTATATCATTAAATTTGCTTTTATTTGTTCATGCTCCCAGTGGTTGTCACCTTTATTCCACTCTGTATTCTCATGAGTGTGGTCTTTGTTCACTTTACAATAGAAAATAAATAAAATACAGTTTTGCTAAACTGTTGCTAAGCGAAAAGAGCATATGGTGGTAAAAGCCGTGGAAGGGTAGACCTGTTTGAATTCACAGCCAAAACTGTTCCAGTCTCCTTATTTTCACAGACTTCGAAAGATCCAGTCCAGGTAGACTGCGTCATTGGAAGACGCAGCCCATGAATTTGAATTCAGCCAACATCTCTGTTGATTAATGTCTACCACCGCATGCATGAAACCGTTTCAGAACTGGAGAGCTCCTTCAGTGACAGACTGCTGCACCCTAAATGCACCAGGGAGCATTATCACAGATCCTTCCTCCCTGCAGCTGTAAAACTCTATAACCACCACTGTTCCCAACAACAATACGTTGTTACATTCATGCTTTTTTTTGCGGTTTCTGTCTTAGACATTTAAATAAGATGCTGCTCGCATTATGCACATCTCTGGTGTTGCTATTTTCCCTTATGCACTACTGTAAAAATGTATTGATATATTCTCAAGATATACAGTATTTATATTGTAAAAGCACTGTACAGTACAGTATTTTATTTGTTTTTGCAAGTCTGTCACTTATTCTGTTATTTCTATACACTTTATAAAGTCCACATTGTGTGACCACTTTTGCTAAAATCTTTTGTTGCTGTAACACCATAATTTCCTCATTTTGATTTTCTATTGTATTCCACCCAGCTTTACAAAATTGGCATAATGGTGAACTATTTTCTATATATTCCTCAAAATAAAATAAGCAGTTCTACCATAAAAAAAAAATGTAAAAGAAAAAAGGCAAGACAGGAGCTTTAAGATCCCACCAGTCAGCTTTTAGCATCTTCACCACAGTTGTCTGGTTTCACTTTGCTTAACCTTTATTCTTTTTCATACATTCATTGAAGAAAAGCAATGCGATACAAAATATTTCCTCCAAGACAAGTCTAAGATTAAATAGTCAAGATTTCTTACAGTTGCCTGGCAGACAAGAAAAAGATACAGTAAACTCACAATGTATGCCTATGTACAGTCCATTTCTCAGATGTGGCCATTTTTTTTTTCTGCTTCGTGCAGAAACACCACAGTTTTACAATCAAACAGTTAAAGCACAACTCAAACAGCCTCTGATGAGACGTTACAGAAAAGAAATAAGCCGTTCAGAAATAAAAAAAAAAAACTTAAGAAAAAGCTTTAAGTATAAACAATGATAAAAAATAGCTTGCAGGAAAAACTAAAACTCCACAAAAGCTCAATTATTTAGATTTCCTTATTAAAAACATTAAATCAGAACCTAAAAGAATATTTCTCTTAAACTCAAAATAGGAAAAAAACCACAATCGAACACTTCAAAGCTGTTTTTTTCTATTGCCAATTTTAGAACAAGTCCGCTGAACTCATCAGTATTTACCCTTTTATTTTTGTGCAACACGGCTGATCACAGCTCGTCAGTGGACTCCGACACGGAGCGTTCTCGCTTTTCCCGGCAGGTGACGAAGTTGAGCAGGTCGACGGCCGTCACCACGCCGAAAACCATCTGCTTTAGTTCGGTTGAGCCATTGGTCAGGTCTGAGGGAGGAAAACACTAATATTACCACGGATTCCTAAGGTCAAGGTTCTCCAAACTTGGTTTCCTCCCTTTGATCAAAAAGAGGCCGACCCGCAGAGTTTAACCCTTGAAAAAAAATGTTGATTTGAAAGACTGGCAGGTTCATTAGAGGTCAGCTGGAGTCACCGGTCTGAGCAATAAGATTAGCATATCTAAGGTTTCTTTAAACTTACATTGGATCTGTTCATGCACCACCAAGGCAAAATGATCCGTTTCCAGGATGTGAGACAAGTTCCCCAAATTATCATTCAGGCGAATCTGTAAACAAAAACAGTAAAAAAAACAGAGAAACAGATTATTTCAGAGTAAACACAAAAATAAAGCTCTTTTTTTATAGTAAATGCAAAAATAAAACAGATATTTTAGCTGCTATGAATGCGAGTTTTAACACAATTTTTATGGTCATTTATAGACTTAAAGAAATAGGGAAGAGTTCTTATGTTTAACACAATTATTAGAGCATAAACCTTAAACCTGAAGACTTTAAGAAATTATAACAATGCCCCCCCCAGCCCAACCCCAATTAGGTTATATTTTCTGTCATGTTTTTTTTTCTATTAGCAGGATTACTTGAAAAGTCATGAATAGATTTTAATGACATCTTTACTAGAGGTGTGCATCAGGTCAAGGAATAATTCATTAAAATTTGGTAATGCTTCAGACCATGTATCAGTTTTAGCTATAGGTGTAAGTCACCATTTAAGGCTCAATTTGCTGCTGGGTCGGTGTTCTCAGAGTGCCTTTCTAATAAAAATACATTTCCCGAGCAACATTAAAGAGGATAATTTACAGGTTCATGTATCAGATATTGTATGAAGATGCTCTAGTCATGAGATTAAATAATCCCCCATTGTTGTCTTAATGTGTGTGTGTACCCATCTAGCCCTCAGAGTGAGGATCATTTTTCCAATTTCACCATCAAATTGAGGACCAGTTGTTGCAAAGTGAGGACATTTTGCTGAACCTCACATGCTATTTTGCTAATGGTTAGGTTTGGGGCTTAGGCGTCAATGGGTTAGGGTGAGGTATGCAGAGGCAATGGTTAGGTTTATGGTTAGTTTTGGGGCTAGGGCATAGAAAGGGTTAAAAATAACTGAAAACCAACGGAAGTCAACACATGGTCCTCACTAGAATGGCAGAACGAGTATGTGTGGGTCTGTGTGTTAACACTGGTGATAAGAGTAATTATGCTGCAGGAAAAACAATCTTAATGTTTGAGGTTGGAGAATGAAAGCATGTCAGACATCTCAGGATGCTATACATCTAGCTTAGTCTTAACGATTCAGAAATGTAAACATATGGCGTTTAAAATTCCTCTCTTCAATCACCAACTAGCTGATTAGCGCACCTGTTTGAACTGTTTGTAGAGCACTTTGCTGACGGGATCAGACAGCTTGATCTTCCCTGCCAGAATTGATGACAGCATGTTTCCTAGTGTCACCATCCCAAGGATTACCCTACAGAAAAAAAAAAAAGGAACAGCCATCAATGGTAATTTTGCTTCTCTATTGATTCCCGACTATAACAGGTGGAGCAAATGTCTCCTCTCACCCTGCTTCGTCCACTACAGGCGCCTGGTCGAAGCTCATCTCCTTCAGGATCTTGATGCTCTGCTGGCAGGTAACTGTGGGCAGGACGGTGAGAGGGGCCGACAGGTTCAAGCTCTGCACCTTCAGATTCCACCACCTAACAGAACAGGAGAAGTGATGCTTCTAGTTGCTGTGTGATTCAACTCTTTGATAAAAAGCGTTTTTAAACACATACCAGGGCTTCTTCACCATGATGTCCTCCTCTCTAAGGAAGCCTTTGTGGACCATCCATTTGTCGCTCAAGAACTTTGACCTGCAGGAGAGAAGTTAAAGGTTGAGGCGGTGAAACCACATCTAAGGTTTTTCTAAAGAAATAATATGATGCTTCCTCACATGTAGTTGCGGATGGAGTCCGGCAGGATGACCACGCAGCGCTGGCCCTCCTTCAGCTCTTTGGCAAACTTCACAGCAGCAGCCATGGCGGTCCCAGAGCTGCCTCCTAGTGGACAAAAAAAAAGAAGAACGAAAACATTAGCTTGTCAACTCAATTAAATTCTTTGCTTTAACTTGAAATGCAAATTTACCGCAGAGCAGGCCCTCATCTCTGATGAGCATCCGAGCCATGTTGAAGGACTCCTCGTCGTTAGACTTGTACCAGGTATCAACCACCTGGAAAAAAAAACAATGTTGTGAAGAATGTGCTTTTTCTTTTAGTAAAAAAAAAGAGGAAAAAAGTGGCTGCAACTCACAGATCTGTCAAGCACGGTGGGGATGAAGTCGTACCCGATCCCCTCCACCTCGTACGGGCCCTTATCAGTCTTATTGATTTCCTCAGGCTCGGCCAGGATGGATCCTTCTGGGTCGACGCCGATAATCTGTCCACATTATTACAGAGAGACATTAGTCATGGAATAGGAGCTTTTCTAGAGGGAAGGAAACAAAGAAGGAAGGAAAAAAGGAAACAGGAGGGAGGAAGGAAGGGAGAGAGGAAACAAAGAAGGGAGGAAGGAAGGAAAAAAGGAAACACAGGCGGGAGGAAGGAAGGGAGAGAGGAAACAAAGAAGGGAGGAAGGAAGGAAAAAAGGAAACACCGGAGGGAGGAAGGAAGGAAGGGAGAGAGGAGACACAGGAGGGAGGAAGGAAGTAAAAAAAAAAGTTATCATGATACAAACACCTCAAAAAGTAAGAAAACTGACGAACAAAAGAAAACGAGGAAATATGGAAGGAGATGTCAGTCAGAAATTATGGAAGCAACAAGAAGAAAATAGAGGGAAGTAAACAAGGAAGAAAGTGTAGAATAAGAGTTCAGACAGAGAATAACATCTGGAAATACACTTCCATAAAAACATTTTGTTCTTTCTACATATCCAGACAACCATACTGGAAGGAAAAGAGAATTTGGAGAAATGAATCCACACTTTTCCAGGCATTTCTTATCCCCACTGTTTAGTAGAATTTAGCTTACTTTGATGTTTGGGCATCTCTCCTTTAGTTTACGAGCGATGCCTGTAATCGTTCCTCCTGTTCCTGCTCCTGCCACCAGCATGTCCACTTTACCTGTTTGGACAGAGAAGCAAACAGTGAAATTACCTCATCAAAAATGTTAGAAGAACATGACTTCCACTAAAAAAGCGTTTGACTGCACCATCGCACTGCTCCAGGATCTCCTCGGCCGTGGTGTCGTAGTGGGCCAGGGGATTGCTCGGGTTGCGGTACTGGTCCAGAATGTGAGAGTCTGGGATCTCGTTCTTCAGGCGCCAGGCCACGCCTACGTGAGACTCAGGAGAATCGAAACGAGCGCTGGTGGGAGTTCGGACGATTTCGGCTCCAAGAGCTCTGAGGACATCCACCTGAACAGAAAGGGGTGGGGGTATATAATGAAGAACATATGTTGGTACATCCACCTTGTAAGAGTCAGCCTTTTGTTTCCCTTTGCTGGATCTAAAGTTTACAAACGGTACAGGTAATATTGCTTCTCAATGATCTTCAATCACAACTGTATGCTTTGTTCGCCATCTAGTGGGTAACTGGTAAATTACAACTAGAGAAAAAAAAAAGACCAGCTGTCTGCAAACAGGCAACACAAAGCTAAAGGGGGCCAACACTTCAAGACTTTACAGACTCATTGGCTCTGTTCGAAAACCTAGGACGGGTCCTCCAAGGACGCGGTCTACCTAGACTGGATCCTTCGAAGTCCTTGAAAATAAGGAGACCGGAAGAGTTTAGGCTGTGAATTCGACCAAGTCTACCCTTCGACGGGTTTTACCACCGTATGCTCTGTTGCTTAGCAACCGTAAACGTTGACACACAAAGCAGGAAAAGAATGAATACAGAAGTTTTCAAAACTGTTTATTTATTTCTTTTTTATTGTGAAGTGAACAAAGACTACACTCACAAGAATCCAGAATGGAATAAATGTTCCAACAGCCGGGAGCAGGAACAAATCAAATCAAATGTAATGATAATAACCTTAGTCAGTTAAATAACCTGCTGCTGTCATTCTGCACATCTCTGATGTTGCTGCTATTTTCGAATATCCATTACTGTAAAAATGTCCATAGCTGCATATTGGTTATTTATTCTCCAGTTTTATATTGTTAAAACACTTTACAGTATTTTATTGTTTATATTTTAACTCTTCCCTATTATGTTATTCTTATACATTTTTTTAAGGTCCACATTTGTGTGACCATTTTCAATAATCTTTCTGCTGCTGTAAATTTCCCCATTGTGGGACAATAAAGGGATTTTCTATTCTATAAAAGGGGTAGAAAGATATAAGTAAATCTAAACAATGTATTTATAAAAAATATATCTGCAAAATCTCTAATATTCAACAACAAAAAATACGTAGTTAAGCATATTGTGCAAAACAGCAATAAAAAGATAAAAATCCTATCAGATTTATAGTCCCCACCCTGCAAATATATTAGAATCTGTCCTTAAATTCCAGCCAAACCCATTTACACAGTAACAGATTAAAACCTTTAGATAAACCAAACATTACCGCCACATATCTGACTCAATAACCATTAAAACAACTATTTTTCATTAATCTCAGACGGAACTATTAAATGACTTGTATTATGTTAAACTGAACTTCCAATTTTCACCACTGTTCGGCGCCAAGTAACCTTTACTCTGATCACAGCTTGCTTGGTCTGGCAATGAATCCTGGGATATCCAAGAATACCGAGGATACATCAGACCCGTCCTTCAAATCGGGCAAAAAGAAGGACGCATTTTAAGGCCGCATAACAAGGACTCTTGGAATCCGACCAGACCTCGGCGCCACGCTATGACGTAATCGGCCTTCGAATCCGGTCTTCTAAGGATGCGTCCTAGGTTTTCGAACAGAGCCGTCATCCTGGTAAAAAAGGAAAGACTCGCAGGAAGGAAGGAAGGAAGGAAGGAAGGAAGGAAGGAAGGAAGGAAGGAAGGAAGGAAGGAAGGAAGGAAGGAAGGAAGGAAGGAAGGAAGGAAGGAAGGAAGGAAGGAAGGAAGGAAGGAAGGAAGGAAGGAAGGCTGACAGCAGCAGAAGCCATCAGATCCTTATAACCTTCAGGTGGTGTCATACAACATTTGGGGGATTTTTCCACTTTCAGACTGAGCTTCTGGTGTCAAATAACTGCTGAGACACTTTGACCAACTTATTTGTGACCTCGTGTCACCGTTACTGAGGTTATGTTTACATTGTAGCCGAGTGTCTCCTCATTTTGAAATGATCTGCTTCACTTTTACTGTCGGACTCTACCTGTTTTTTGGAAATTAAAACATTTTGCTCCATCAACTGTTAAAAAATCCCCATCTTTCAGAAGGGCTCTCAATCATGCGGTGCCACAGAGTCAGTGTGAATTGATGCATTGATTAAAACGGCTTCTATTTGCAACAGATTGAAACACGAGGATAAAGAGGACGGGAAAGGAATCCAGACAACAAGCTTCTTCCCCTCCACCATTAGACCGCGGAATGTTAAAAAAAAAAGCACCAAATATTTGAGATATGATTATAAAGTTTTCAGTGTTATGTTTAAATCTGATCCCCATGTTTATATTTTATCACTGCTGCACTTTAAGAAATGGAAATGTTTTGAGAGCTGTACTGAACGAAATTTTGTTTTGTATACACTCTGTGTGTACAAAATGGCAAAGTTCAAGGAAACAGAAGGACAAAAAGCAACGAGGTAAGGGAGTGAATGAAGTATGGAAAAGGAGAGAAAGAAAGCAAGAAAATACAAAAACAGGAAAGGAGAGGAAGGGTAAAAACTGGAAAGGAATCATGCAAAAAAGAAATTGGTAACAAAAAAAGGATTATAAATAGAAACATAAGGATGAAAGAAGACATGAAGGTGAAAGGAATCACAACTTCTAGGACAAACTTCAACCCTCATCGTAATGCAGGGGACCAAAACATCCCGCCTGGTCCGCCAGGCCAACAATGACCCTAAAGAATCCCTTTTCAAAGGCATGGGCCAGTATTGGGGGGTATTGCAGGCCAACAACGACCTCAAGCACTCCCCATTACTGTTTTTTCACTTCAATTTGATTTTTTTTCTAAGCCATAATAAGGCTTAGTTGGGCTACTTTATAAAGCTTGGAACTTAACGCTAATCCAGACATTTTGAACTGAGAAAGTTCCCTAGATGGGACACGAAACGTCTTCAAACCTGGAAAACAAATCCAGTGGATTGTTTTTTAACTTTTTTTTGGAACGTACAACTTCTGGTAAAACACAAGATCAAATGTACATTTTTTTCCCGTATTTTTTCTAAACAATCAAGAACTGGGTGGGAAAACATTCCAAAATAACTAGTTTTCCAATCTGTGAAGAGGTCATAACAAAAAAAATATATATAATAATAATAATAATTGCAATCTTTGGTTTACAAAACTTCAACCTGCAGGTACCTGACCCGGCCCAACAGAACTCACCTTCTCCATGCTCATTTTCTCAGGCATGACGATGATGCAACGGTACCCTTTAACAGCAGCAGCCAGAGCCAATCCAATACCTGAGGACATGTGAGGAGTTTTTACAGCACCGCTTTTCTAAACCATTCTACATTCCAGTCATAGCTACACAAAAGCGTTTCCTGGCAGCACATGCATTGAAATTACCCGTGTTTCCTGAGGTGGGCTCTATTATCGTATCCCCAGGCTTGAGGTCTCCGGCTTTCTCTGCATCTTCTATCATCCGCAGACTGATCCTGTCCTTCACACTGCCTCCGGCGTTGAAGAACTCACACTTGGCCACTAAATAAAAAACATTCAATCAAACCTAGATCATCTTTTGTCCTTTAAAGAACTATACATCAAACACACCCTCCCACGTCTACACACTCCTCACTGTATCCCAAAGCGACAGGTTTCACCTGTTCAGCTGATGTGTCTTGGCTTGTGTGGGAAATAACTCACGTATTTCGCCTTTGATGCCAAAGGCTTTGGGAATCTTGTTGAGTCGCACCATAGGAGTGTCGCCAATCCTGTGTAGAATGTTGGGAAGGATTGTAGGAGAGGCGGCCCTGATGGAGGGGGAAGCAAAATGGAAAAATCAACAACCTTTTCTGATTTGGGCTCATGTGCCGGCTTGCCTCAGAGCGAGTCACCACTGGCGTAAAGTTCAAGTAAAAGAAGAGCGGCTCTCACTTTGAAACGTGTGCGTGGGGGGAGTCGGACTTAGAGGCCTCCAGACTCCATGTGCAGCGGCTTGGGAGGTCTGGCCGGATCCACTTCCTGTCCACAGCCGGGTTTTTCGTTTTAATCTGAATGGTCCTGCTGGAGTCGTCGAGGTCCTCCGGCGTGCTCCCGTTGACCGGGCAGGAGCCGTCGCGGAGCTTGCCGCCGCCGCCGTTGGTGTGGGCGTGCAGCTTGGTGGAGTGAGGGCACACTTTGACGGAGGCCTCCTTGGGCGAGGGAAGAGACGGCATGGCTTAGGCTGAACAAAAACAGGAAGCAGGATTATGTAACGGTTCAACGCTTTATATAAACAGATAAAGGAAAATAAAACCTCTATGGAGTTTTGTTGTGTCAAAAAAAGGCATCCAGAGCAAAAAGTTTCAAATCTTTGGGACTCAATGGCTTGAATAGAACATATAAGTAGGAATGGGATAAAAAAAAAAACAAAAAAAAAAAATAACAATTTTCTGGTGTTTTAATTTAGCTTTTTAAAAGCGTATCGACATCAAATAACAGGAATTTGAATATAAATGCCATTAATGTGTCCATACCTCCGAATACAAACATTACACAACTTCCTCATCCTAATGCTGAGTCATATCAGCAGAGAAAAACAAGCAGGATCCTGCTTTGGCCCCTTTGACACTATAAACACCTTCACACATCCTCTAAAAGCGTCACGAAAGTTGGTACCAGTAGCCGTCTGCTTTGATCTACACTTGAAAACAGAACCGAGACTAAGAAAGAAGAGGGAAGGCTGGCTGATCTGGCGCCAGCTAATATTGCATCAGCTGTTACACAGAACAAAAGGGAAGAGTTGTTAGTTATTAACAAGAAAAAAAAAAGAAATAATCCAAGGAATTATTCCATATTTCCAAATAAACCTTAACCTGGAGACGAGTCGTCATTAAAGCTACACCGCTGATCACTGGTTATCAGCTAAATGCTGATATTTCCAATGTTTCATATCTACCTCACACATACATAGAAGATACGTATGTTCTTTTTTTTTCAAAGAAGGGCTCGTCGTCAAACCAACAGAGCAAAGATTCATCAGGGGCCCACATGGATACGGCTGCCTAGGACCCCCAGCTAAAACAGCAGCAGATGAGCCGTCTCTAACACAGGACAAACATCAGAGGCCAGACGTCATGGCCGAGGGCCCCCGAGGGTTTAAACAACCAGGAAAAAGGACAAACATAAACCTTTTTTCCATCCACTTTTTTCTGATGCATTTAACCCCCCCCCCCCCCCCCCAAAGCACACATGTGCCGACTCCATTTTCACGCTCGCTGCTGCTAATTAAAGTGACAAGATCTACAACTGCTGGTGTAAATGTGGCGAGCAGCGTGTGGTTGGCTTGACAGGGTTCAACAAGGTAACTCGACCCCCCCCCCCACCTCTGTGACCGGGAGCGGGGTGAGGGAACAGAGCCAGGATTACCCACAGAGAGACCCATTCACCCCCCAACAAAGGATCACCACATTAAACCCAATCTAATAAGAAATCCCTCACCAGACGGGATTTAATCTGATTAATATTGAAAAATCACCTTTGGCCGGATCTTCTGATTCGTGTGTTAGGTAAGGTGAAGAAAGATGGTTACATTTTACATTATTTAATTAAAAAAAACTTTTTACTTTCAATTAAAAAGGTCAAAATGTTTATATTTTTAAACGTTTTTGTTTAACTTAATAAAATGATAGTTGTTCTTTCTCTCTGTACAGTAACAAGCTCTATCTAATTATTTATTGCAGCCATATTAAAAGAATTTATCCCATTTATTGTACTTTTAAAGATTAGAAACTGGAACTTCATTTTAAAAAAGGTAAAAATGATGAATAAAGGATGCAATCATAAGATTTTTTTTTTACTATTCTGTTTTTGATGGATGACGTATAATCTAAATCTATTTATCTTTGTAAAACAGTTTTTTTTTCATAATGGGTGGAGCTTCTTTAGGTGTTTTTTTTAATCACCATGACTGTGCATTTTTTAATCAGGAGCAGCAATATTTCTTTACACCAGTATATCCTTTTTAGACATGGGTGAAAACCATGTCTCCGTCCATCTGATCGGAAGCTTGCAGCAACAAGTGGGGGAGGGGCAATGCTGCTTCACAATTAAGAGTCAACTAAGGTCACTCTGGCAAATGTTAAAAAGACAGTTTGATGTTGCAACTTTTAAACAATTGCCTTGTGAAAGCCCGAGAACTTAACCAGAAGCTGACTGGTGAAATATAAATGAATTAATTTGGACATTAAGTTACTTAAAAAAAATAAAAATAAATCTGGCTCAGAAATACATATTTTGAAGGGAAAAGTTTTCCTTATTTTTAAAGATTTAAACAGCCTTTTGTCATTTTCTTAAATTTTTTTAAGTATGATTATTTTCTTTAATATGAATTAATGAAATTCAGCTGTTGGAGCACACATAAAGAAGAATAGTTTATATCTAGACTAAGGGTGTGCAAAATAATCGTCAAATCGATGCATCGTGATTCTAATTTTTGTGATCTACTGAATCGATTCTTGAAGGCAAGAATCGATTATAAAAAAAAAAAAAAATGAACAAATAAAATACATTAATGGTTGGCGCACATCAATCAAACCAAGTGGAATGCAACTTCCAGTCCAGCAGATGTCGCTGCGGATGTGTTGACGCCTGCTGCTTTGTGTCATAAGCATGTCCGGACTGATTATCCTCATTTTGTTATTTTAAGTTTGATGAATCCTAAGATCTTTTTGTTAGTGTGTCCATGCCAGTAATAGTAATATTTCTGTCCAGTATTTGTTTTCATGGCAACACCTCCACAAGTAATTTAAATAAATACAGCTATGTATGAATTCAGTTGCTTTCAGTTATGTATCAATTGAAGACACTATCCAGATCACACCCAGCCAGTCAGCCACTGGTAAGGGGTGTATCTTTTTCTTACAGTGTTCAGTGAAAATATCCCAATGCATCGCAATATTTCAAGTATCGTGATGCATCGTGATAGAATCGCATCGTGGCATGTGAATCGTGATTCGAATCGAATCGTGACTTCTTTGCCAATACCCACCCCTAATCTAGACATCAGGAATGCTGCCTTAAAAACAAAACACACATATATATATATATATATCAAAATGAAGAGAAATATTCATGAGCATATACATCTGAATTTCCTGGAGAGCATAATCAATTAATACGCAATTAAAATATAGGAATAACAAAAAATGTGAATTGAACAAAAAAATCAAAAGAACTTTTTTTTTGGTTTATATACCTTTTTTTCTGAAATAAAATTATATTTTAAGCTTAAAAGATTAACAAACTGAACGAATCATTAAATGATAGTTGATAGTTAATTGAACTGATAGCATCCCAAGCAGAAAGCCTGCACTATGCAGGGATATTGCATCATCTCACCGTCCTTCAGAGCCCCTTCCCACAGAGCCAATGCCCACAAACCACGTCTCTTCCATCCTCCCCAGTCTTAATTCTCTGTATCCCTCCGCTTTCACTCACCTGGAGGATTAAAGGCAGCCAGAAACAGTTCTGGAGGAGAATAAAAAATTTGCTTCAGGACGAGATGTGAGCTCAGGACCCCAAGCAGCGGAATGAGGAGCTTCCGGGAGGTACAGCGGTTTAGGAACGGATTGCGCACGTGTGAAAAACGGAGAGGACGCGAGTAAAGCCGCGATCTGATTGGCTGTCGCGTGGGCGTCTGTTTGGACGGCGCCGACCAGTCAACGAGGAGATTTCTCCGATACGGGGTTTGGGAAAAACAGGGTGGCTTTTTTCCCCGCAACACCTGTTTACCTTTCACTTACCAAACACGCATCGTTTGTACGTGGTTGAGTGTGACATCTTGATGGCTTCTCACGAGCTTTACCTTTGCTATCAGAATGTTGAGTTGACAAAAATAAAAAGATGATGTAAATTTGGATTTACTTTACAGGTTTTGTCCTTCTCCACAGTTAAGGATATAATACGGAAGAGGATAAGGGCCACTGAATAAAAAAAAAGACTTAACTGATTTTTACATTTTATTTCAGTATAATATTTTAAAAAAAGTCAGAATTCTGACTTTAATTTCAGAATTCAGACTGAATGCTGCCAGCTAACAAACATGTTAGCATCAAGCCGCAGTCATTTCTGTTTTAGAGAATAATCTAGCTCTCTTGTTTTAATCACCTCCTACCCTTCTATTAATGAAATAGCATCACCGGGGACCACTTTGGCACGTAAAAAGGTGCCTAATTCTGTCATTTTCCACCAATATGTTACAAATCTTTCTCAGTGAAGCTGTGTGCTCCTACATCCCTTCCTTCGTGGTGCCCATCTACATCAAGATCCAAAATTCGTAAATTAAGTCAGAAATGCGAGAAAAAAGTCAGAATTCTGAGAAAAAAATGAAGAATAGAGACATTGAAACCAGAATTATGAGGAAAAACGTCGGAATTCTGATCGATTCTTATTGAAGACAGTGTACGATGATTGCACTTCCCATATGGTCTAGCGGTTAGGATTCCTGGTTTTCACCCAGGCGGCCCGGGTTCGACTCCCGGTATGGGAACGTCTGTTCTTTTACCCAGATGCGTCACAGGAAATCATTCCTGCCTGTGGTCATCAATCGCTACCAGGGGCGGATTTAGGAAATTTGGGGCCCTAGGCAAAGACAGGCAGGGGGCCCTTCTGAAATAAGAAGACAAAACATAAAACAGACCTATTCTGAGAGAAATGTTAATAGAATAGACATCCATTATCTGTTTTAGGTTTTGTCCCTCTCTTCTTGTCCCTTTTTCCTCTCTATTTATCAGCGTACTGATGGCATTTTAGCCAAAGGATTTTTATCAAAAACATAATTAATGTGCACAAAAAAGGAATAGTTGTATTAACCATACATGTAAACAGAGTTTTATGGGGCCCCCTGGAACTTGGGGCCCTAGGCAACTGCCTAGTTTTGCATAATGGTAAATCCCCCCATATCTCTACAACACCTCCCTCAAGTGATTCAGACACCCTGCCTCAGTAATTGACATTAAAGAGAAGTTAAAAGGTTGTCCAGCATCCCAGGTAAGACATTTATGTCACATGACAGTTGGTAGTCCCTATTAAGGTGCTTTTTGTCTGGCTTTTTAAAAAAAAAAAATTTTTTTATCACAAATTCATTCTGTGATCTTTAACTTCCTGAATAACTTTTAAAACAATCTATTTTCCTTGATGGTCAGGTTGTGTACACTTGTGGCTGACATTGTTACTGCTTTTAATTAAATAAACAGGTAATATTGTGGGGAGGTTTTAACCAAAAGTATAAAATATGTCCATTTCCAAAACCTACCAGGTCTGTAATTAAAGGTTTGTTCTTCACTGAACTATTTTAGCTGAATATTTCCTTTAGCTCCATTTCAAAAGCTGTAATTAATAGCAAATATTTATTTTTGGGCAGGCTTTGGTCCTGTAACACCCTGCTCTCTGGTGATGGCAACATTTCAACAATAGATAGAAGAAAGAAGCCTAATAGTGAAGAAAAGGGATCCAGAGGGAATGAAGGGAAAGGATGTGGGACACAGGCAGGTAAGCAAAGAAAATGCAATAAAAAAATGGAGAAAACCTGAGCTCAGGAGGTATACTTTTTTATGCAAGCAAAAATCAAGTTTTATAAATGGAAATGTGTAACATTAAATTTTAATAATGCAATCCATAAATTAAAATTTGACATACATATTCTTTTAAAAATGGCTTTTGGAAGTAACTTCACAATTTTCTCAAATGATTTCCAATTATTTTTTTTCAAAATGTATTTGTCAATTTTTTAAAATGTTTTTAGGTTTAATATTTTCAAAAGTGTTCTTAATAATTTTATAATTTTGGTTTCTTTAGACTAAGTTACAAATTGCTTTTCACAGATCACATCCTCTTCACTTTAGACCCGTTACAGATGCTCCATCTTGATGCACACATTGACCAATATATTATTACAATGCACTAACATTCATTGTTCTGCACATTTTTGTTTAAAAGTTTTTTTCCCTCCTTGCACTGATACATCTTAACATTTATTTCAGCTACAATGTCATCCTCATCAAAAAGCTGTATGCACTCTGTTCATACAAAATGAGTTTATCCAAGAAAGGAACAAGTCTCATTTCATACGAAAAGCCTGTCCCCAGAAGTGAAGCAAATGTGATCTACAAAAAGCATTTTAAAAAAGAATGAAATTCCTTCAGATTAATCTGAATATTTTCTTTTTGAAAAAAAAAAAAAAAAAAAAAAAAAATTAGAAAAAATATATTTTGAAAAAAAAAAATTTTTTTGGACAAAATTAGCTGCTTTTGCAATTTCCCCACAAATCGTGTTCTTTGCTTGCAATAAAAATGGAGCAAAATTTACTCCATAGAGACACTAGGAACAAGAGATAGGACATGAGGAAGGTAAGGAGGAAAGGCACAGAAATGAAGAAGAAAATAAATCACAGAAGGAAGAGTCAAATAAAAAAATATGAAAGACATGGAGGTGAGAGAAAGGAAAGGAAATAAACTGGGAATAAAGGATAAAACAATGTTTTCCCCTGCTCTATTTGTTTCTACTATCCACACCTGAAAAGCTGCTTAAACCAGCTGTGGTTGTTGATATTCTAAAGGACACCTGGTCATAACTGTGACAGACTAACATGAAGCAGCCCCCAAGCTCTCATTATGACTTAACCCACAATAATATTTATTTTTCTAGTTATGGTTAGCCTCGCTAGTGACCGCAACATTTAAAGAGCAAGTGGTGTCCTGACTTTTAGTGGCAGGACAGTTGATTTAATTCCAGCATCTATATCCTGGATTACAGCAGATCACACACAGATTATTTCATTTGATCTGGTTTGAATGACTTCTAAGAACAAAGACTCAGTTTCAGATGCGAAACAGGAATCTGCAGTGTTACCTTTATACGGGACATTATGCATAAAAAATGGCATCACTTTTTCAGACTTTATGTATAAAGAAAAAGTTCCATGTCATCATATTCTGGCGGTGCAGTTACAAATCTGTTTTATTGAGAAAGCGACACAAGCTTGTCTTTTTAAAAAAAGCGAATAAAAGAAAATAACAATTTCAACAATTTACCAAAAGAAAAAAGGGGGGAAAAAAATTAAAACATCATCACTGCTGAGGGTAGGAAGGAGGGATTCAATGCATCAGTGCCGGCTTCTTTCAGAACCTCCCAGAACGCTCCCGGTCCCTCGACTTCCGCTTCTCGCGGTCCCGTCGTCGATCCTTGGAGCGGGAGCGTCGTTCTCGGGAGCGGGAACGAGAGCGGTGCCTGTTGGAGAACAAACAGCTCATTTAAAACCTTTAAACACTCTCCCTACAACATTTCTCTCCTCTGAGGGTTCATTACTTTTTCCTGCGGCGACCGTAGAGCTCCCTACGAAGTTCCCGTGATATGGGTTTCAGATGCATGAAGTTGCAGAAGCCTCCTCTGGTGCATTCCCTGTGGGAAAGTCAGGGACATGAAAGGGTTTAAATTCCTGGTCTGGTTTCAGATGGAGCTCTACCATAAAACGCTCCCTCCTAGTTACACATGCCAACAGAAAAAGCCTCAAGTTTTATCTCCTGCAGCGACTTGCAGACAAACAAGCCAGAATCAAACGGAAAAACACAGAAGGACACAAAGCTTATCTTGGTTCTGAATAAAATGTGATCATTTACACAAACACACTGCAGCTGGGACAGTTTTACTCCTTCAAAAGGGAAACTTTATGACTCTTTGCATGCTCTCAGAGCTGAATGGATCGTCTTCTGCCTCGTCAGATCTCTATATACTCTGGTAAAGTCATGCAAGGTTTCAGTGCTTCTCAGATTTAAAAGCAGCAATGCAGGCCAACAAGTAATTCAACCTCAGATAAGCAGAAAACAGTGAAGCTTTGTCAAAGTGTAAACCAACACAAAAACCCCTTTTTTCTACACATACCAGATCGCCTACTTTCCCCACTAAAATTATATGAGGAAAAAAAATCAAGATGAAGACAAATGAGTTTATAGAAGAGATATTGGATAAAATGGTATTTTGGCAATTTGTCTGGTCAGGATTGAGGTTATATTCATTAATAAGACAGCAGGTTTTTCTTTAAGATGTTTGAAAAGGTGAAAAATACTATAAGAGTTTTTTTTCCTTTCGTTTCCATTTTTGCTCATGGAAAAAAAAAGGAATATGTTTGCTTTGTTTCTCTTATATCCTCATAGCTTTGTATTTAGTAAAAAAAACATAGGAAACAAATAAAAAGTGGGTTCTGTAGCTTGCTGATTAATATCCTCACACTGTCTAATCAAAGCTGGTAATAAACACTTGTTCCTGCATGCTGACAGAGGTAAGTACATGTCGATTCATAGAGGCTTGTTCTAGGTTAAAGGCTATCAGAGCATTAAAGATTTATGGCCTTAGAAATGAAAACAAAGAGCAGATTTATAATGAGTAACAACATTGTTCTCTAAGGTCCGGTCCAGACAGTGAAGGCCAAACGCTACAAGCAGTGGTCCAAAAACTATTTAACCCTTTCCACAGCCCTGTGCAACTATCTGGCTCATTTTGTTCATAGATTTCATCTAAAACAACTGAACGCTGCAACTAATGATTATTTTGCTAATCGATTCATCTATTGATTATTTTTTTGATTAATAATCGGACTG